ATAAAATTTAAGTACACCGATAAAAATGAGGAGCTCCCAATCAAAATGAATTTTCTCCATTTTTCTAAAAGAATTCATTGCAATGGAATAAAAAGAGATACTCGGCAAAGATAATATCTAGTTCAGAAACATTTTGGATCATGCTATGCGATTCTTGTCAATGATTTATAGAGCGTTTGAAGTCTGTTGTTCACTACAGCAAAATCGTACATATTTTTCTTCAGATCAATAGAATTTTATGAATGAAAATTGGAATAAAGCAAATTTCATTTTGATCAGGAAGTTCCTCAATTAAAGACATCTTATCAGAAAAGCTTAGATCAATGGTATTCTATTAGGAACTTTAATGTATATGATACGTTTAATTTGGAAATTCAGTCAATTACCGAGATTCATACTCACAAGATAATTTATAACAAGAGTGTTTTAAATTTTTAAGAAATGTTTTAGCTTACATCATCATACACCTTAAATTTTAAAATAACAAAAAAAAAATTTTATTTTTTATTTATATATTTACAACTGTATACAAAAAATACATCTAGTAAATTCGCACGTGGATATAATGACATGAAACACATGTAAAGAAACTACCTATTGGTAGCACTCTAATAATATGTCTATATTAGATCACATGGCCATCTTCTTTTCAGACGCCTCGGAGGGTTATCAGGAATTGAATAGGAAGCAAGGTTAGAAACAAGAGGGTTGGGATGGTTATGAAGTTTATTATGGAAGGACTAAAAAAAAAAAGATTTTTTTAGTGATCAATTTCCGAAATTATAAAACTAATTGGAAATTAGAAACTAATAAATATTTTTTTAAAAAGGTCTTGTGTTAGTTGTGATCCACTATTAATTTTATTCATGTGCACTTATTACATCAAACCTCATTTAATGTTATTTTTGTAACATATAACATTATAACTTAAATCAAAGATCTATGATAATGCAGGTTAAAACATCTTTTAATAAATAAAATACACTCTTATGATTAATATAATCGAATTTTGAGTAAAAATTTTGGCCATTGATCAATATAGCAATTGAGCATTATACATACAAAAATATATACATTTGGTATACCATATATACATATAAACATGGTAGGTTTCAAACCACCAGTAGCAGTGATTAACACATTCAACATTATGTTAATAAGCTCAGAAATTCAAAAATATCAATAACTCCTTAACAATAAAACTATGACAAACTAAAAATTAATAAATTTTATATACATACTCATTTCCCATATTAATCTAATGTAATAAAAATTCTGCAAACATGAAGCATTTTCAAAGTTCAGACAAAGATGGCTTACAAGATATGATGAAAGGATGGTAAAGCATTCTGTTTTCTTTTTATATATGTTTACTATCTTCTATAGAGCTCTAAAATTGCTTATATCATATCATTAAAGAGAACCCTGATATTCAATCAGTAGACATGTCACAGTCTCAGACATTAATTCTATAAACATTTTATGCAGACCTAGTATTAACACTGGACCCATGAGGGAGTGGCATTTATAGTGTCAGATAAAGTAAATTGATGCGATGTTTTTGTTAGTAAATACAGTTGAACCACGGTTTGTTCAATCTTTCTTAAATACAAAGTACTGAACCCAACATCCTCCATGTGTAGTAAAGAACCGATTAAGTATTGAAGTAAAGATTACATAGTAGTTGAGAAGCTCATAGGCGAATGTCTTCATTATATGGAAGATAAATCTAGCAGTTCGGCGTGGATGCAAACAACATAACCTGTATATTCGGCGTGGATGCAAACAACATAACCTGTATAAGTGTTTTTTTTTTTCATAAACATAAAGGACTTTTTTTTCTTCTCTCATTACGTAAATATTGATACAATACAATGTTTATAGTTCTAAATTCCATAAAAGTTCAAATCTCTTTGGAAATTTTAATGCAAAATTTTCTTTTATGATGAGATTCATATTTCCTCTAATTCAAGTTTTCTATAAGAAGGAACCTATTTTCCTTTAACATGTCAATAAGTTTTTATCACTGTTTTTTTTTCAATTATAAATTCATGAACTAACTCATTTACTGCTTTCTCACCGGTTCTTACTTTTACTACAACATAGCCATCACATCAGTTTTTTTTTTTTTTTTTATACAAACTCTCAAGAACTATGATATTTCTATTTCATGGATACATGGATATTTATCAATATTTATAAGGCTTATTAGTAATAAAAAAAAAAGTAGGTAACATCAGTGATACATAGTTCATGTGTCTATCCACAACAAAGTAGAGATATTGATTTTACTACACAGTGCAATCTCGGTGATTTGATTTGAACTAAGTAAAAATATAACTTTTTCATGATTATTTTTCGAGAATTTCTCATCTTTCTTTATAAAAAAATAATGACAGTAAAACACAAAGAGATGCTGTGCATTGCTTCAATTACTGTATTGATGAACAACAGAGGACAAAATGGAGTGGCAACAAATCCTCTCACATCCGAGAGAAGCAGCCAGGAAAGGACTACATAAGCCATAAACAAATGCTACTGAATTATTAAAATTATATGCTTACTCTTTACTTTCCCTTATCTATATATGCAATATATACTAAGGGAAAGTATTGCGACCATGAAAATTTTTGAATCTGAGTTTTCAACGGAAAACGCGTTTTGAGGTCCGCTGAGTCCAAATAACCAAGTCCCAAAAAATAGTCTGTGTGTATGTAGAACAGCCTTAGCTTAAAAACGAAAAGTCGTGTGAAACTTAAATTGCGTATTTAAGGTTTTCATATAGTTCTGATATAGCAGCAACTTTTTAGTTGAAATCGGCTAACCAGTAGTACCACTTTATATCAACAGTTAAACAGATTTTTACAATTTTCTCAAAAACGGCTCGAATGATTTTGATTAAACTCGGTGCATCATTGTATAAGTGATCTTTAACACCATTCAGGCCTTATCCCCATTGGTGCCACTTAACAGAGCTTAAATGCCCAATATTCATTTACATTTACGTCTTCCTCTAAAGTACCTTTAATATCGATTATTAAACAAAATTAACTCTCTTTTATTGACAGTAATTTAAAAAAAAAATGGCTAAATATGAAGTGAAAAATCCTAATTATCACTTTTAAAAGAATATGATAATTGGAAACTGAAGAAAAATAGAAAAATGCTTATCCAAGTCGAAAATGAATCCCCAGAATAACAGTCAGAGTATGTACGTATAATACATCATTGGAAAACGGAAAATTTTAGAAAAAATAACATCAAATAAATAAAGTTGTAGAAGGTAACAGAGAGTGACAAAAAAAAAAAAAAAAAAATATATATATGAATAATAATTTCCAAAAGCTAACATTATTTAATCTAAATCACATGTTTCCAGGAAATTAAATGAAATTTTCTTACTAAATGTAAACTTTTAAATTTTTTTCTAAATAAAGTAAAAAATTATTTAAAATCTACCGAATCAAGCCAACGCCATTGTTTAAAATACTATTTCATTGTACTTGTGTGAAAAAAGAAGTAAAATATAAAAATATTTCATGGATATGTTCATAACCTTAAATATATTTACAGTAGTTTAATAACTCTAGAGATGATATTAAATTTAAATAATTAGGTATCTATAGGCCGTTTATTCCAAAAAATCATCAAATAACCTTTTAGAAAATTAAATAAGTGAATAATTCAATGAATTCTCCTTTTGTGAAATCCCAACATGATCCACTTACAATTAGTGTGACAACTTTTGACCTATCCATGGCAGGCAATGAAAATCTCGTAATTCCATTTTAGTAAACTTTACAAGTGAAAATAACATTTTAATAACTAATAGTCCTAAAATTTGATAATCATTTACAGGTTAAATATTCAGAAGTACTTTCAAATCTCTCTAGGTATATATGAACCTTTCAGTTGACAGAATGATTACCTCCAATTACTACATTCTTATTAATTTCAGTAATGTTTCTAGTGACCAAATTTACACCTTTATTCACAGTTCTGTATTTCAATACTGCAATCAACTTACTCACTGCCTGTATCGATACAACTTTTCTAACTGAAAATATCACTAAAATGAAATCACTAAAAAATGTTGAAATTGTGGTTAGTCATGCTGTCAACTGAAAGGCTCGGATACTGAAGTTGTGTGGGTTTATAAAAGCAGATGGAGTAACTAGATTTTCATTTCCTACCGACGATGTAATAAATAGATTTTTGTAATTTTAAAGGTCTTAATGATTTGTTATCTGCAACCTTTAAGCCTAACTCCGTTTAAAATGAACTTCAAACATTTTATAATAGTCCAACATTCCCAGAAAATAATTTCTATTCAAAGTAGAATAGTAAGTGAAAATTGTGTGTTGCGTGCACCAGACTTTTTACTTCGCTACTGCAAATCAATTTTCAATAAAAACATGTGATTTCTTTATCAATATTTACAGTTTTGTTAATAACTATTCAAATAAAGAAATAAATAGGTACATGTTTTTTTCACCAATAACAAATAATCCTCCACTGCCGGTACTTCTTAGAGCAATTGAAGCAGGTTTTCTTTACTCTGGAATGTAGCAGAGATAATTGCTAAAGATTATTTTTATTATCTAAATACGCCAGAAAGTACACCATAAAAGACCTAATTGGTAACACTTGAAAACAATTTAAAGGTAAATCATTTATTTTTATTGAAAATTTATTTGCATCAGGGAAGAAAAAAAGACCCAAATAAAATTGTATGCATTTATTGAGTTCACAGTTCTCTCAAACACTATCTTTAATGCAAACTTTTTAGAAACCCAACCCCATTTTCATGCAGGAATCAGTTCAGATCACTAAGATTGCACTGTATTTGTATTAAAATTCTTAAAGTGGTAAGACTACAAACAAATAAATTACCCGGTGTTCTTAATAAGGATTAAAAAAATTCACAAGAATTTACTGTTACAATATTAATAGAACTAACAATAAAAAAAAAAAAAAATAAAAAACTATCAGTTACATACCTCTTCTTCCTCCTGTTTTTGAAGATCATTATCTTCAGGTTGAACAAGAACAGTTATTCGCCTATTTCTGGAAGATTACCAGATTTAAACCATAAGAAATAATTTCATAATATCACATGGAAATAAAACTTTGAAAAAGTTTAATGACACTCACAATTGTGGTGATTCCTCCAATTCATCTTGAAATACTATCTCTTCTGGTCTATCCGGAGCGAAGACCAATGTTAATTTGTTATTAAACTCAAACATTTGTTGAATGGCCTTTTCAAAAATCACATAACAAAAATAGGTATTAACGGATAAGAAATTAAAATAAAAACAAAAAATAAAACTAAAACAATTTATTCTTTACTTTTCCTTTATTTATTATTTTTTGTAGATATGAAGGAAAAGGTATGTGACAGATACATCATTAAATCATATTGAAAATATACATTTGAAAAACAAATATATACTACAAACATAAGTTTATAATTATTATATAATGAATATAATCCTACTAACTGAAAATTTGGTGTGTATGTAATAAACAATTAGTAGCATATATATACTGTGATTTAAAGTAATACTATGATGTAGTTACAGCAAATGTGTTATAATTAAAGTCTATTGAATTATACTAAAAATAGAGCGACGATGTTGTAAAGGCCATTACAACTGAATTAGTTAGTACATATAAGAACGTGAAGCCAAATTTATTTTCAGTAAACTATACATGACTGAAGGGTGTAAGCAGGTCTCATTTTCTATGGCCCTAACAACGTACATCATAAAATGAAATAAAAACATACTTGTCAAGTAAAATACTTAATTCCTTGTCTTTTACCAACCCCTAGTTATTACTTACATTTTAATGTTTTAAAGTTAAACTAGAATAAATTGGGTTAAACTAATTGAAATATTCAAGATCCAAAACCACTTAAGTGAGCGGGAGTTTAAAAGTGATAAAATATTTATATCTAAAAAAAAGTCTGGTGAGGTGCACGCATCACACAACTTTCACTTACCATTCTCTACTTAACAGAAATAAGTATTTTCAAACAAAGGGGAAGTGAAAGTAAAAATTATAGCCGCTATATTTATTTATATTATATTGTGGGTATTTTTAATTGCGTAAGTATCATTATATATACAAATTTTAATATTTATATCGCTTTAATCTATACAATTAAATATTAAATAATACAAAAAATAGCATTTATGAAAATCACGTACGTATATTTATATAATATCATCGGAGTCTGTATTATATTATGCTCATGTTACGTATGGAAGCGTGTCCTAATCTTTCGGGCGAGCTCGTATTCCTTCGGTTCCTCAATTACAACTATTCTCCATACAAGCAGGTGTTGAATGCAATTTTTAAAAAGTTACCTTAAGAATTTGTTTCAATAAGATTCCACATTACCATGCTTTATTTATCATTTAGTTGATCATAATTTTAATTTTAATCTTTCATAATTCATATTTAACAATATTTTATTAATGGTTACAACAACGGGAACTCTTATATTATTTCACATAAAAAAATCAAAGGTAGTTCACAGGAAGAAATATTAGGAATTCAGCATTTAAGCCATGCCAGACTAATGCAATGAGAATAATACTTGCTTAATATGAAAAAAAAAAAAAATCAATTGTTACACTGATGAAATGATTTCGATCAAAATCGTTGGAACCATTAGTCTAAAATAAATTATATAAAGTGCCACTAGTGATCAATCAATTTTAGCAAAAAAGTTGCTGTAACAGTCCAGGAACATACATAATTACTGTTTTATATGTCTTTTTGTTTAAGAATAAGATGTTCACGTACACACATACAGACCATATTTTGGAACTTTGTTATTTGGTGTCGTAAGACCTAAAAATGTGTATTTCCGTTGAAAACATGAATTTGAATATTTATATGATAGCAATAATTCCCCTTAATGTATTTCATATATAGATAAATAAAAGTAAAAAAAAAAAAACAATGTTCACAAATTTCCTGAATTTTTATTATTTAACAGAATTTATTTTTTATCAATGTAAATTACTTAACTTTCCAGAAATTTGAAGAAAAGAAAAAATTATTTCTTACATAACTCTTTTATTATTACTTAATATTAATATAACTATATCACTATTTTAAGTATTTTTATGACTGCCACCCCATACATAGGTAAATGAAAGTAAAAAAAAAACTATGTTTCTTGAATTTTAATGATAAACGCCGGGACCATTTCCTTCTTCAATATTATACAAAGAACAACCATTGAGTATTAAAAAAAAAAAAGTTTGCAAATGGCTATAAATATCATGCCGATATTAAAATAATTCAAAATTTTGAACAAAATAATAATTTGAATCAAATGGAGATATATCTGCTACCAAATGCAGAACATGTAGTGATGATGGGCAACTGCTTTTTAGTATTGAAGATGGTTTTAGTTGGTTGGTTGAAGAATCCAAGAAAGCAGGACTGATGGCGAGTCAGCCAAAATTAAAAATCCTCGAATAGAGAAAGAAGAAAAATCTGCTGGCAAGAGTACTAGGTCATTGGAGATTATAACATTGAAACTATAACAAGATTTCAGTAAATCCGCTCTACAATTAATGAGGATAAAGAAATCAATAAGAGGATTGTTTCTGGTAATAAAGCTGACATCAGCCTCAATAAAATCCTGAAAAGCAGACTGACCAGCCAAGCGACCAAGTTCTGGAAATACAAAATGTTAATAAAACCAATAATCACATATGCTGGGGAAACCAGAACATTAAATAGAACAGCTGATCATAAACTGAACAGGTTTGAAAGGTGCATCCTGCGAAGAATATTAGGGCCGAAGTGTAAAGAGGGAATGTGATGACGCTGCCATAACAAAGATTTGATAAATGATATCAGCCTATCAAATAATATAAGAGTCAAGGGCCTGAAATGGTTCTGGGGAAACTCCCAGTGGCAGGTATAGTAGCCGATGGAAAGACAATGTGCAATGCAACCTTAGCAGCTGAGAATAAGCACCCTGAGAATGCGCCTGTTGTGCTAGCAGAAGAAGAAATTATATATCATTAGCCATTGTTATTTGCTAATCACTAGATTTATGTATAAATAAATAGAAATATATATATATTTCTATATAGATATATATATATAGCTACAGCAGGTTTATCATAAACCGACTGATGAGTGTAATATAGTAGACTAGTCCGTAAGGCAGGTGAAATTCCTCACATCCAGATGGTCCTTTGAAAAGGATTTTTCCGGAAATTCACTTTCGACTAATTATTTTAGTCTAATCATTAAGAAGGTTTAAAAAAATACCAATATAATTTTTTAAAAGAGAAATATGCACCCTCCTCCCGCAAGATGTTTCGGCAGTCAGGCCAAACAAGGCCTGAATGAAGCAACTGAAGGCCATCTTTCAGTTGCTTTAGTGACATCCAAAACATCAAGAAAATAAAGTTTTTAAGTGATAAAGTACTTTTCTAATAAATCACACTCCTTCACTTTAAGCACACCTATACCACAATAAGGTATTTATTTCAAATCGAGGCAGTTAAAATCTGAGCAGAAAACTTCCAAATCTTTGTTATAAAACTTTAAAATGAAAGTTTATTAAAAAACGAAAGACTGAAAAAATAAAATACTCAAAAGATACAATTATAAACTTTTCATTCTGAAAATGGTAAACTAAGAGGATGAAATAAGCAAGTAAAGCTGAAAAATAATAAATAAGGATACCAAAATCAAAATTATTTTGATCAGGAGCTTTTTCAAATGTTCTCAATTTATTGTTTGTTTTATTCTATATATTTTGTTAATATAATATTATTAAATTATGTTAAATATATATTTGTATACAGTTAGTTTGATTTATAAAACATGTTAGATAAGCAAGAAAAGCTAACATATGAGAAAAAATCTTTAATTAAAATTATTATCAATACAAAATCATAAAAGGAATAACTGACAAGTTTTTATTTTTTAAATAAATGGAATAAAATCATGGTTAATTATATAGGACAGACCTTTCACCCACAAGCAGGATAGTTGACATCAATATTACTGAATGGAATGAAGAAGTTAGATCAATTAATGAAAAAAACAACATTGTCTTTTTACGAAATAACGAAAAATAGGATTGTGAACCATATATAACTTTAGCAACAACATTATCAAATTTCAGAATGATCTTCACTTTTTAATGATAAGGTTTCATAATTTTTCCAATTAACTTATAATTATAATTAAGTTAAAACCTAGCAAATATTTCAACTTAATAAACAGTTATGAAAGATTTTTCATAAAAGAAAAACTAACATATGAAAATGTTTTGAATATGATAACACCATTTCAATTCAATGGAATTCTGAATATTTGCAGAGGCAAAAACTGTTAGAAAAAAACTTAAGCATACTCTAACAAGTAGCGGATTCCTGTTTAAAATGGTCTGTCAGTGTTTTTAATCTTTATTTTAAAACAACTGCTAACATGGACTAGACTAGATCAAGGTTTATAAATGCCTTGAATGATTCTAGGTTCCCTTTAGAAAAATAGCCTTATCTATACTAGCTAATACTTCTTTAACGTAGGAAGGATTTCATAAAAATAAATAAAAACCTTATAAATATGAAACCTTAACATGAATAAGTGAAAATTGTAATTCCGAAATTTTATGCTGTTAATAAGGATATAAGTAATGATGTGCAGTTATTTTTCATGGGAAGATTAAAGACAATTATTAACACAAGAAACCACTGAAAGCAACACAAATGGATCATTTAAAAAAAAAGAAAAAGGAAATGAAAATTATCCATAGATGACTCTCTCCGACTTATCAAGACCTGTTAATAGTTCTTTAACCCAGGAAGGGTTCCATAAAAACTGATAAGTTGTGTTTTATAATGTAGTACGCAATAGAAACAGATCATCACACCGATTACTTCAGTACCCCATGGAAAAAATTGTAGTATAATAGTCGTATACTTTCATCAAAATGTAGAAATAATGATACATTACATGAACAAGACTACCGGTTAAAATGGAATAGAAAAATATAATGAATCACAAGTATGAGTTCATTATTAACCTGACATAAATTGACTGTTTGGGAAATGTAAGTCAGATACACTGTGTAATAAAAAGAAGAGGTATCAAGATACTGATCATTTACAACATACTCACATAATTTGACATAAAGAACAGTAATGACATAATTACAATATTTAGCCAAGAAAACAAAAGTATGGTTAAAATGTTGGTACTTCAATTTCACAGGTTATCCACACATTTATAAAATATTATGTAATAACATGTTGTGAATTTATGGTTGACTGTAGTAAATAATTGAAGAGAAGGTTGGTTAGGGTGTTCAATAAAAAAAAAAAGCAAAAATAAATAAATTATATTTATTTTTTCCAACGTTTCGGCCAAAAGTTCAGGCCTCATCTGGGCTTAGAAAATTCATCAGTCCTGAACTTTGGCAAAAATAAATATAATTTATTTATTTTTACTTTTTTGACTGAACACCCCAACGAACTTCTTCAGTAATAACTTTTTATATGACATATTATATACATAAGATAAACTAAAAAAAAGACACAATTTAAGAAATTGAAAACCTTGTCGAATTTCTTTTCTTTTTTTTTTTTAACATTTCATTTTTGATGTACTTATTACATTTTACTTTCTATTTCTTCTTCACATTTTACTAATATCAATATTCTTTTCATTCTTCATTTTTGCAAATTTCATCTTCATTCTTGTGTAGCTCGATCTGGATACTCCCTCCTTGCATCTCCGCAAGGCAAATGGTTAATGTTATTCAAAATCAATTTTTGATCGCTGAACTTGAATGAAACTTTTTTTAGTTGTTGAATGTCTTTTCTTAGTATTAAAACATAGATGAAGGTGTGTGGTGTAAAATGATAGTACCTAATACTTTAAGTTAGAATTTCATAAATAATTTGCCGTTTTTCAAATCGTTATTATAATTGCACATGTATAGATAGCACCACAAATAAAAATATGGAGGAGTTATAAGTTTCAACATTGTTTTAGTTTTGATCATTCTATATTTAACTAGAGAATTCATAAAAATGATAACTGGTTCTATTGAATCTAAAACCTTGAAATGTTGGTTATAATCAGATGTTTGTGGGCCAACGGACGAACTGGCATAATGTGAAATATAGTGCTATGTTTTGAATTCGATTCAGTTCAAATATAAAGAATTACATCAACTAATAAGAGGTGTACTTTTAAAACATACATTTCGTAAAAATCACATTAGTAATGACCATACATAAATTTGATATAATTTGAGATAAATCAAGGTGTAGAAAAGATTTTTTATATTTTCATCATCATAATGTACTCCATTTTCTCATGTATAACTTCAAAAAGAAAATATCAATCATAATACAAAGAGAAATAAAATACAAACTTTCTTACTTACTAATCTTGAAAACTTTATAATAAACTTAACTGCAAAACACACCATTTTATCATTAAATAGAATTTGGATATGTTACCATATCCATACATTGGATATGTTATTGAATCCTGTTTCTGAATCCGAATATTCAAAAACCAAATTTATATTGCTTCAATTATTAGAGATAAATTAGATTTATTGTGACATCTTATTTTAACATTTCTTTTTCATTTTATAAATATATTTGTAGAATAAAAGTAACTACTACAAACGCTTAGAAGGAATAAACTATTAATAAACAGAAAAATACAAAGAGAGAGAGAGCGAGAGAGAGCAATAATAAATATACACCCATCCATATGACATCAACAATTCTGTTAATATTATTTTAATAAGTTTAAGCAAATAAATAATTTTAAAATGATAATACTCACAAACAGCATTTAAATATGGAAACTCCTTTGTTGCAAATTAAATGCAAATGTATTGAAAAAATAATTGTGTGCTTAACAAACATTACTGTTTTATAATTCATAAGTTTAATTTAGGGAAAGTGTGTTCTAGCACCATTCTCAAATCATTAAAAATATTTAGTATCAATGTGTCGTCTTGGAAAATGTGGGTTAAGACTGATTTAAAAAGTTCTTTCCATTTACTAGTTGATATATGATAAAATTTATTTTAATATATAAGTACAGTTAATTTCAAAATCTATTCAGTAGCTACAGAGATTACGAGTGACTGAAAAGTTGTTTCAGTCAATTCCTTCGTAGGAGAATCATGACCAAGCTTCACTAAAATAATATTTATCTTAATTTGAAATCATTTTGATTGTTCAGAGGAGATAAAACATAAAAGACAAATCTTTTGTCTCCTTAAGTGTGGAGTAGACTTCTTAAGGGCTGTTCCTTTCTTTCTGTTACAGAGCAGGTCGTCTTCAAGTCCCTACCCCCTATATGTATATTATTAATTATCTACTGCCATTAAGAGAACAAGACCTTTAATGTAATAGAACTTGCTTTAATATACTTTAACGAAAACTAGAAAGAAAATTTATGAGGAAACTAACAGAAATGTTATACGCTTTCTTTATCATTATGTCCTCTTAAAATCTCCCACATAGAAGTACAAGATTACTTCTCACAAACCATTTATTTTTCTGACTTTTTCAGCCTCCTATACCAACCAAAATTGTAATATAATGAAAAAAAAAAAAAAAAAGAGAGATGCAACCAAAATTAAGAGAGACTACAATAAACTTAAAGCATCTAATGAACTGTACAGTAGACTATCGATAACATTGTTAATTTATGAAAATGAATTAGCAGTAATTATTAAATTGTGAATATATACAAGCAATCCCCGAGCCAAATAAAACAAGAAAAAACTATTAAACATATTACTAAGTTAATTAAAGAATTTTAACCAAATAGGTTGCGGAACATAAATATATTTCTTAATTATTTTAGTCATATTTGCTCTACTTTATTTCTTTACTGATTGTGAATAATACCTCCACCAAGAATTACCGAAAGTCTGCTGTATTTCAGATTAGCTGGAGCAGAAAGAGGAGTAAAGAAAACAAAGGATTTTGAAAACAACACCATTCAGCCAACTAAGAGGATACTGGTCTTAATATGGTTTTTAAGGACTACTAGAGCTAAAAAATATAAAGAATCTTACCTTTGAAACACTTTTTGATACAAACGTTGAACTCAATTGAGACAAAGACCTTGGAAATGATAATGTTTTTTTTTCTCCTTTAACATTATAAAGCATTATATGTGTATTATGAGTTCTGTAAAAGAGAGAAAATAATAAGATTTTCTTCTAAATATGAATATGCAAGATAGTTTAAATAATTTTTAGTTGTAAATAGAAATAAATAATATTATTTAAGTTAGAGAAGTTGGTGACTGCAGATCAGAGATAAAATCACACACAAATAAGAAGCCTTAATACCTTTGGGTGTAACTTAATTTATTATCATTACTGGGTGATAAATATTCAGGACGCAGTCTTTTTTAAATTTTTTTTTATTTTTGCCAGCGTTTCAACCCAAACATGTGGGTCATCTTCAGGGCGTGGTTTGAGCACTGAGGTTGTTCATGTACTGGTTCATGAAGTTCATGCAGTACATGAACAACCTCAGTGCTCAAACCACGCCCTGAAGATGACCCACATGTTTGGGTTGAAACGCTGGCAAAAATAAAAAAATTTAAAAAAAATTTTTTTTTAAAAAGACTGCGTACTGAATATTTATCACCCATGATATGTAGAACAGTCGACTAACTTCCTTCAAGTATTATTATTACTATTTATTTTACATTATTTCATATTATTTAACTTAATTCCATTTAATTTAATCTATGGCTGCATCTCAACTGCTAATCTACACTCGAAAATATCTTCACCATTATTAAAATTTAAGCAAGAATTAAAAGTGACAATAATTTATCTTTTTTTTTGTTGAACTATATTTTTCAATAATCTTAATCTGTCACTACTTGGTTGAAACACAATTCAGAAAAGGGGAGAAACAAACAGATCAATCTTCAGATTTAGGAGCCTTAGGAGAAAAACGTGTAATTGTACTGTGGAGTGCCAACTTCGACCACTCAAAAGTCGCTTTTATGTTAAAAATCTGGTACTCTTAAATATTAAGTCTAAGACTTACGTTGTATCATCGGGTGGAACAGTGATGACAGATTGAGGTTCGACCTGGATGACCTGAATCTGCTGATTCTCGGAAATTTCCATTCCATTTTCCCTAAAAATTATATAATTCAGCAAAATTCAACTATAATAAATATTCAGTTTTAATTAAAAAAAAAAAAACATGAGTAAGAAATCATATTCAAAGGTATTAAAATTGCATACAGAATAAATTTGATGGAATCAATCAATAAAAATAAAATATACAGAAGTCTTAGCTTAATTTTTTAAAAAAGGAATTCACTGGTTGTTCTTACCTAGGTACAATAGTTTCACTACCATCCTCAGTTACAATACTAAAAACAGACGGCTCTCCTCCCTTATTAACATTCTGAAAAAAAATAAATAATAATAATAATTTAGAATCTTTCCTCCCAATAAGAAAAAATCATGGTTAATTAGAATAAAGTGATATGAACAATGAAAAAATGAATAGAACTTTACAAATAAGTGAATAATTTATAAAAAATAAAAATAAAAATTGGAACATGTCCTTCTACTAGAGATAAATAATTAAGGAAATGCAGCCTCATATCCAATTAGATTTTTCTGCCTGAGTGTTCTTTTCTCAGGTCAATGAGTTAGTAGAAATAATGTGAATTATGTTATTCATTTCAGAATTGTCAATTATTATAATAATCATATTATATTCCCAATTGATCACTGACCGATATACTGTATTAATTATTCTTCGCATGGGTCAACTAGTTATAGAATAAAACCAGAATTAAAGAGGAAAACTCAAGATCTCAAATTTATTATAAATTGAAGATTTACATAGCAAAAATTGGACCAAACTGTGCCTAAACCAGAATAAGTGTTAAGTGAACATATTTAAAGATTTTAATGTAAATAACAAATTTACATTTACGTCAAGTAGGAGACAATAGTGAATTAATACTTTAATATATAGTAATAATCTTTACCTCATTCATTGCGTTTATTCCACCGCTACTATGAATAATATTTTTATTGGTAAAAGAAAGAGGAGTGTTAAAATGTAACTGCGTAATGTTAGTAGTATTCACGACTGGCCCTCCTGAAAAAAAAAATTAATATAATTTTTAGCCTTACTTTATTAATATATATATTGTGAATATTGTAATGATATTTCTTTTTCAAAATAATAATAATAATTTGTGTTGTATTCATACCTCAGCCCTGCAGGTAAAGGACACCATGACCATTTTTTAAAAATTATATAATTTAGTAACTAAGAAACAAATTATGTGACAGCTTGTACTTTAGTTCTAGAGTACCGATTTAGAAACATAAGAATTATAATAGTTTGAAGTCATGGAACATTGGCTCCCCAGGACAAATAACAAAATGGACATGGTGTTCTTTATCTCCGGGGTACAAATTTAGTTTGCTTAATTTCATTAATATAATTGAATTTAAAAGAAAATAGATATTATTTTTCATTTTTCACAGTGATTAAAACCATCCATGGGGTGTCTTCCCCTCCTCCCTTTATTGATCAGCTTCAATAATTAGAGTAGAGGATTCCCTGTTTATAACATTTTATATACATACTGTCATTGTGTACATTATTGATATAAGTTAACTTTCAAATATATTTTTGTGAATTTTGACATTGTTTATACAAAAAAAAAAATCTGTCAGCGTTTGAAAATGACACAAAACCTTTTATTTATCACATACAGTTACACTAAGCGCCCAATTTTCTGATTTTAAGAATAGAAAATTCAACAAATCAAAGGGAAAATTCATCAAACGATATATATATATGTAAATGTAATGAAACTAACATAAAATAAACATATACGGCCAAAACGACAGTATAAAGATTTTCAATTATTTTATTATTTTTAGAACACGCCAAGAGAATGAAACAACTGAAGGTACTAAGACTTAAGTCTGCCCAGTTTGAAGTTGAGTGGGTCGATTCCCACCTGGTTCAGCTAATAATTAGTTTTTAATGTTCCTGCAAAATGAATCTGACCGCTCCTCTCTAATTTTTTTTTTTTTTTGGATAGCCATCCACCTCACCGAGTCTGGCATATGGGTGAGGAGAGAGGAGAAGAGGCTAACTAGAGTGGGAAGGCAGACATTCATTCAATGCGACCACCACAAAATAAATTTTAAACCTCCCAGGCCAGATTCGAACTGATGTCGCTAGACTCAAGCATCTTTAAGTTAATGCTTAAACTTGCTTTGCAATCATGACCTCCACTCCTCTCTATTTAGTACAGGATGGGCAGTAAATTATTGGTAGTGTCAGAGGTTTCCAAAAAGGATCATAAAATCCACTTGCAAGACTGATTCCCGCAATCCCAAATCTGTTATTAATACAATTTTATAACAATTTTGATTACATTATAAGACAGTAATAGTAATGTGATGTTTAGGACCTCTATTTTGGCCATTTAGATTTTTAACTACCCAAGGTTGGAGGTTTCAAGGACATATTAAGGGTGGAGGTCAGCAGCCGAATACTTTTGTAGGCTACCTTTATCTTGATTTTGTGATCAAAGTATCTAACGAATCAAGTGAAAGCAAATGGGTGTTCATGAGTTTTTATTACATCATTAAATAGATCTCCAGATTAACACCACATTTCCGAGAATTTTGTAGGTTACAGTAAGATATCACCATTTACAAAGTTTCAGAAGTTAATAATTTGATAAAAAGTGGTCAACACCGCATACTAAAGGCTTTATAACACCGTGATAAGTCAAATAAGAACAGAACAGTCAATCAATTACTCAGAAAACTAAGAGATAAACTTATAAACTACAAATCAGTGACAAACTGTTAAGGATATTGAACTCCACTTTAAAATAATATAAGAAAACAGAGCAAAAGCTAAAAAAACAATAATTATATTATTTATATGTCTATTTCTATTATGTGAAAGCTTCCTAAATGTAAATATACAGATATCAATAGGATTTTGATGTGCATATTAACACACTCTGGAAGATATACTATGTATTTACAATTTACTAATCAATTAATGCTCATAAAAACCAAGAGTTTACTTTATCATTAATAAAATTAGTAAAACCTCAAAATGTAAATGAGCAAATTGCTATAAACAACAAACTTCAACCTTTGATATGATAAAAATTGATTCAGAGCCTGGATTTACATTTTCATTAAACATTATTTTTCTGAACAAAAGAATAAGTCCAATTTACAGCGATGAATCGCCCATGGAAGAGGTTTATGGACTATAGGATATTTATTCTTTTTGCATTAAACCAAGAATATCATACAACAATAGTTCACGAAAACCCACCAACTAAGTTGTCTTTATCAGAAAGGTGCTCAGTGCACATTACAATTTTATATTTCAAACCCTTCCCTCAGTTCCGGAAGTACAACATATACTGTTACCAATTCCCAAAATAAAAAAAATCAAATGCAACAAGGCTCTCAAGTTGGGACTAGCTGAGTTCACAGACTTGCAACAGAAATATTAAAATCGTTGACATATATATAATGAAGGTTCAAAGCCCCAATATGGAGTAGGTTGCAGCACCTGTTACTGATAATGTAAAAATATATTTATTACTCCCATATTGTGCATAAAATAATATGAAGATAACATAAAAAAGTTTTTATTTCTAGAAAAAACAATTATATACCATCATTTAATTTTATTTTTTTTTAATTGATTTGAAACTTTTCAATATTTTGAATCTTTTGTTTCATAACTATTTCTAACTTTAAATTTCTGATTGAAAATTCTTTATAATCTAATGGTTTTGTACCTTCAAATTTAACACAAGAGCTAAATTGTGTATAAGCTAAAATGACCCATAAGTGGTTGAAAAGTCGGCATTGTAATAAATAAAAAATAATAAAACAGATGAACTTAATAAATATTTATGGAAGAAAAATTATTTCTAAAATTTGAAGATGATTTAAATAATTATCATCTATAAAAAATGGATTTCTTATTTAATGCTTCATGTAAACAATATTTAATAAGAATCAACCTACCAGGATGTAATTTTACTGGTATAACATTGTTAGTAATTACTATTGCTTGTTCACATACTCCGTCCACACCCTGTATGTAGACAGTCTCATATCCGCAATATCTAAAATAAAATAAAATTGTTTATAATATAATAATCTATACTGGAAACTAAAATATTTATAAATAAAAAGTCTGATCAACCAAGAATTATAAGATCTTGCTCAAATATAAAAATCTTTAACATCATTGGAACGCATAACAGTGAAACAAGATAAAAGATTTTTTTAAAACATAAAAATAATTACCTTTAATTAAAAAATGATTAAAAACAATAAAGCAGCAAATCATAAAATTTACACCAAATTATTAAAATAATGATTCATTTTATATAAAACATAAACTTGTTCATATGATTATATTTAACTAATAAAGCTGCATCACGGTAAATTGAACATCAATTACTTTAATTCATTAATCAATCAACATTTTCTTCTTTATCTCATGGAAATAAATAGACATAGAAAACGTTTAAAATTTTGGCGAAAATTTACTTCTTTAGAACAAAGTAAGATTTCAAAGACGGAAAAAACATTGTGAATTTCTAAAGCAGACACAGTCAAAAGAGGAGCTTCGATCAATCAATGAATCAAATGTTGATTGATCAGTATAAATGAAAATGATGAAGAGTCAAACATAATAACAAAAGAAACAAGAGTGGCAATTAAATTGGTAATTGGAATAACATTGGCTCTAGATTTTTTCACACTTTTTTTAGTGAAATGAAGTTTGTTCTGGTTGACTTATGGGATAGAGTTAGGGTGTAAGTTTTCAAAATAACTGCTAGGCAATGTCTTATTAGTTAATTTCAGAACTTAACCATAAAGTTTTCCATATAGTGAGTCACAACAAATTAAATTAAAAAGGTAATTGTTAAAAATGTTACATCATACATTGTTCCGGGCAAGAATAAAATTAATAATGTGTGCATATATACAAAAGAAAAAGAAAGTATTTCCACAGCTACAACTGAAACTCTATATATTTTTGTTACTTTAACTTGATTTTTATTTTTAAAAATGCAATGTACATGGAATAATATTTTGATTTACAAATATACAAATTAGAAGGTGAAGGGAAGGTGCATAGTACCTACACATGATAAAAGCTGCAGGGGTGAGAAAAAAATTGAAGGAGCTCCTACAAAACCTAGTTAATTTTAAACTTTTTCAACACGCAAATCTTCAACTTACCTTTTACCTCAAATCAGAGGGAATATAGAGGTGAACTAAACTTACAGAAAAAGAACAAAAAGCTGATTGGACATACAAAAACTTGGAAAAAATTGATTTAAACATATTCGACAATACTCAACCTAGAAAACAATGCTACACAGCAAATTTCAACTCATTAGATCTAAAGGGGAGGGGGAGAGGGCTGGAGATGCAAAAACTCAGTGGAATATATATATATATGTATATATGTATATATATATATATGTATATATATATATATATACTAGGGGGTAGAGTGGAAAATTATATATATATATAATATATATATATATATATATATATACTAGGGGATACCCCCAGTCCGCCTAACGACAACTGTCCATTTATTTAATTGTACTTCTTGTAACTCAAATTGGAAAAATGTAATTTAAATTTATTCTGTAGTCAAGATTGCACCATTTTTTATCAACATAAAATAAACGCACGATTACACAGGACAAATGTTTAATTTCTTTAAAAATTTATATTATACATTGCGCATTAGTGCCAATTTATATTATTATATAATTATAATTGTTCTTATTGCCAATTTGTCACCATGATAAGGTTTCAGTCTATTGAGTATACCTTACTAAATAGTTTTATAGGTTTTATTAGTTTCCATCAATCATTTTCATTGAATTCTACCTATTATCTAATTTATTAGTGTTAATCAAGTTTTATTTATCATTAAATATTACAATTATATTTCTGGTTGAAATTTTTCAGAAAATAACAGACTTATGCATTGTATTATAGACCATCAGGGCGAAGTGGAAGTACAATTAATGTCCCGTTTTATACCCCCAAAACTAGTTTAAGTACGTTTCCGTAACTATCCAGACTAGACATTAATTCTTACTTTTGTTAAAAAATTATAATTTGGTACATTTTGTCTAGCGGGCACTGACTCCTATCTGCTAATGTTCATAACCTGAACACTGATAATTCCCATAACGCATTGATAAGCCTTCTCCTACTTCATATCTTAGTATTATTGTATTAAATTCGTATTATTGACAGTGTAAACAGACACAAAAACAAATGTAATAACAAAAAAATACTTTTATTTTACGACACATATATTAATGAAATAATAAAAAAACACATTAAGGGATATGTACATATAAAACATCAAAATGAAATAATAAAAAAAACACTTGAAGAACATACGTAGATATAAAAAATGAAAACGAAATAATAAAAAAACATTTAAGGAACATATTTACATAGAAAAGAAAAAATATCGACACTATAAACAACATATGTACAATTTATTTTCACTTTGTCTTATTTATTTTGGAAGGCAAAATTGTTTTATGCTATTTAAAATAGCGAGGAACGGGTCCTCTTCTCTGTGAACCCACCGCCACAAAAATTTGCACAAATATGAATCGAGGTGTTGTCTGGCAGTTCCTCTATGTGCTTTATTTCTCCACTTCGCTGAGCCCCATAATCGTTCTATGTGTTGAGTATGAACCCCGGTTGATGGATTGACAACATTGAATTGCCTGTTCTTTTGAAGATGGCCAATCCCATATTCTAAGAAGATCCATAATATGACAAAAATAAACGGGGAAAAAAAAATTAAAAATAAACTCAAAGGGGCCACAAACTAAATATAATGAAAAATAAACACAAACGGGCCAAAAGTAAAGAATTTAATAAGTGAACGTAATAAGGGAATACCTGAAAACTAAACAATGCAATAACTCAAAGGTTTGGCGGGATAAGAAGAGGGAGGTTATGTGACGTGACGTTAGATAAGATAGATAAGAAGTGAGGTTTCGTGCCGGCCCGCTAGACAAAAGGTACCTATAATTTTATTATTAATTTAATATTAGACAATTCTCTATTCGTACAGCTATAAAATTAAATGCACAGAAATACTTCAAAGACTTTAAACACATCAGAGTGCGGTTTGCACTGTTAAATAGCTATTTATAAAATCATGTTTAGGTATCATTAATTCTGTGGATAATGAAAAAATCCATCATATTTATATTTTTAATAGAAGGAGCATAAAAAATGTTACAGTATACTTTGAAACTAATTTGGATTTAATAAAATTTGGTTGAATTCTGAAATGATATTTATAAGAGATCAATCATATATTATTTCCGATAAATATATTTTTTATAAAGTAGTTATTTCTAAAAATTTTAACTTTTGGTTAAAATTACGGTTTGGTCATTCTATTCCGTTTTAGCATATTTATTTATGTTTAACAATGCTCATACTCTATATATACTACAAATTGTTAAAACACTCTAAGATCTATTCTTTGGAAAATTGAGATCTTTTGATCCCGGTACCAGTTATTAGACAAGCATTGTAGTAAGGAATAGTAATCTATTATCATTACACTACATAACAATACTCATTGCTGTTTTCTGAGAGAAAGGGGTAAAAATCAGATTTAAATAATTCATATTGATAAATTATAATTACTATTGCTGTTCTTTCGACATTATTCTGATATATCTTATTTATTGATATCTGAAGTACATACTCCACTAACAGGTGTGCACAATGCATCACAGGCGGATTTACGGAGGGGGCTTTCGGGCTGAAGCCCTCCTCCCCCAAAATGGTAAAATATAACCATGTTTTATAGAAAAAAATATTAAATACTATCTCTTAAAGTATTATTGTTCGTGTAATTACATTTAATAGGACTTCAAGAATCACTTAAACACTATTTCATATACATAGTTTATTTCTCTCTTCTTTTTTTTTTTTTCAAATTAATAATCGTTATATAGATGAAATAAAATCTTTCGGACTGAAGCCCCCCTCAAACGTAAATTCTGGATCCGCTAGTGCAATGCATTGCTTGTCTGTGCTTAATGTATGCAGGTCGGGCCGGAGAATATGAGGAGTCTGTTTCCTCTCTTCTTAGTCAATCCTCTTCAGTTGGCAAACATCTGTCTAGAGATTATTACTATTATTTGCTTACAAATAAAATATCAAAATATTATGCTTCCGGGGTATTATAAAAACGATTCTTTATAGCGGAACCCAAGCATTGATTTGATTGTAGTAATTTTAAAAAATCTGCTGCGCGCAACACACAACTTTCACTTATCACTTAGCTTTGAATATTAATTATTTTCTGGCTATGTTAGACTATTATAAAATTTCTGAATTGCATTTTTAACTGAACTAAAGCTAAAAAATTACAACTAACTAATCATAAATACCATAAAAATAACAAAAGTCCTATTTACTATATCACCGGTTGATTATGGATTGTACGATCTGTTGATTATAGATTGGAAGACTATTAGTTATTAAATTGTTATTTTTCATTGAAAAGTTTATTAAAACGGAATTAAGAGATTTGCATTGTCTGTCATGGGCAGGTCATAAGTTGTCACACTAATTGTAAGTGGATACTGTAGGAATATCACAAAAGGAAATTTTATCAAACCATTCACTAATTTAATTTTCTAAAAGGTTACATGATGATTTTTTGTAATAAACGGACGATAGATACCTAAATATTTATATATAATGTCAGATCTGGAGTTATTAAACTACAGTAAATATATTTAAGATTATAAACGTATCTATGAAATATTCTTATATTTCACTTCTTCTTTCACACAAGTACAATGAAATATTAGTGTATACTGTTTGAATATCATAGAGGGAAGATTTATCAAATTATTTCCTAATTTAATTTTCTAAAAAGATACTTGACAATTTTTCGGAATAAATGTTGGTACTTAATTATTTAATTATCAGATCTATAAGCACTAAACTACAGTAAAACTATCTAAGGTTATAAACATATGCTTTGTACATCCATAAAATGATTTTATATTTTACTTCTTCTTTCACACAAGTACAATGAAAAAGTTTTTTTAACAATGTCATTACCTTGATTAGGTGAATTTTAAATACTTTTTCCAAACTTAAAAATATTTTAAAAGTTTACATTTAGAAAGTAAATTTCATTTAAATTCCTTGAAAACATGTGATTTACATTAAATAATATTAGTTTTCAAAAACTATTATTTATAATTTTTTTGCCACCCTCCGTTACCTTCTTCAACTTTCTATATTAGGTGTTGTTTTTTCAAAAATTAAACGATATATTATACGTATACCTTCTGACCAGTATTTCGGGAGATTTATTTTCGACCTGGATAAGGATTTTTAATTTTTCCTCCTTCATTAACTTATCAAATTCTTTCAAAAGTTATATTTAGCATTTTATCGTAACTGAATAATGTGAGGATTAACTTTTTTAAATAAACCATATTAAAGGTACTTTAGAGAAAGACGCATATGAATATTGGGCATTTAAGCCCTGTAAAGTGACATCAATGGGGATAAGATCTACTTGATGTTAAAGACCCAGTTTAATCAAAATCGTTAAGAGCCGTTTTTGAGAAAATTGTAAAAATGTGTTTCACATCGTTCATATGAAGTGGCAATTCTGGTAAGACGATTTTAAGGGAAAAGTTGCTGTCACATCTAAGGGATATACCTATCTTAAATACTTAATATCAGTTTCGTATGACTTTTCGTTTTCGAGCTAGTGTTCACATACACACAGACCATTTTTCGGTAATTGGTTATTTGAACTCAGGGGACCTCAATATGTCTATCCGTTGAAAACTCAGATTCAAAAATTTTCTCAATTGCAAAACTTACATGTACTATATATTACATATATACGTAAGTGAAAGTAAAAATTATTTTGCAGACCAACTTTTTTAACTGTTGTGTTAGTCCATCAATTGTAGTTTTGACATTATTTAACGTGTATTAAAAATCTTCTGGTGACAATCTTGTAAAGTTTTTTCTTTTATATCCAACTGTTTTAAATAGTAAAGTATTGTATCTCTCCTTTCATGAGATTATAATGACCAATAATTTCTTTATCCTATAATTTCAAGCAGTACAATAAAAATATGGATTCCATAACTTAATGCTGATATATTTTAGCAGACGAATCAATATTTTATACCAGGGGTTACAAGAACGCCATTGCCAGCAAAATCAATGTTCTATACTAGGGGTTCTCAAACTGGCTAGTGCTAGTGTATGCCAGGGGTGCAATGGCAATAATAATGAACTTCGGTATTTGATATTTATTGTCGCAATTGAAAATTTGCTGAATAGACATTCTAAAAATTAATAAATTTTTTATTAATTCATAACAGAATTAAAGTCACTCTAATTAAAAAATATATCTGCACAAAATTTGAAAGGGTTTGTATATATTGTGCCAAAGATGGGTAAAGATTCAATATCACTGTTTTAGGAATGAATGTGCTACGTATTTTTTTTCTAATCCCGTAAGGAGCTCAAAACATTTTTAACCGAACAAGGGTGCCATGGCAGTAACAAAAATTTGATAAATATTGTTATAGGCACTGATTCAGACAAGAACCTATATACACCACACGTTTCACATTATATTTACACAACAAATACAGGTTCTCTCTATATACACCACACGTTTCACATTATGTTTACACAACACATACAGGTTCTCTATTTGGTCATGACTAGATCAGGGATAGTGGCTCATTTTAAATGTGGGCCTACCAGAAAGATATGGACATAAATAAATCCAAAGATTAATGGGTATATCTTCTGTATTATAAGAATAAAGAGTGATGCCTCTTTAATTGGTAATACTTCAGGAGTCATAAAAGAAAATATTAACAATTTTCAAGTAAAGCAGAAAATATGAAAACCAGAATCAAAACTCATTAATAATCCAATAAACTAATTTATGAGACATGGTTCAAATTATTTTTAATATCTAGAGAACAAATTTATTTACTAAGACAGACAATGTCACCATCCATCCTATATCTGTATTTATTATTAAAATATTCAGATTTTAAATTATATTTAATAAAGTGTAACCAATGGATAGTTCCTTCACAAGTTCTTATTATGTTTTGTATTCTTTTATCAGACTTACTTATATACATATATACTGTTGTAAATATCAACAAATAATTTTTTTTTTAAATTATGGATATCTATAACCAATACATTAATATTTTCTGAAGAATAGCTCTGCGTTATTGAATGGCAGAGCCACCTCTAGGTTTAATTTAAATCATCACTACATTACTAATGTTTTGGATGCAAAATTACAATGGGAAATGTGAGCTAAATAATTCTCTTTGTAAGTGATATTATGAAAGAAAGGGTGAAAAATTAACTAGGGTGAATTACATGTAACTATGTTCAGTTTTAGTTGATAAGTGTGATTTTGAACCCATATTTTACAAGGAAAAATTAGGTCTTGAAAACCCACTGCATAACCTTAAGATGAGGTTCCAAATGAAAATTTTTTATCTGACAAAAAATTGATTTTCCAAAAAGTAGGTTTATCAACTTTTTTAATGTTCTCCTTACTTCTAAAATTTTCCATTTCACAGTCAACAAATATAGATTGATTTTTGTTTGGTATTTTTCTTTAATCTTGATAATTTTAGCTTTGTGTTAATGATTTTAACTTTTCATTTGGTCCTCAATTTAATAGCTATTATTTTAATTAACGTCTAAAAAATTTGAAGGACTATTATTGTCCGTCAGATACAAAAAGACTGTTTATTTTGATATTTGACAAGTATATAACTTTAATATTCTGCATAAATATAACCTCAACAAAATGTATCAGTTTGTTCACATTGTTATTAATATTTTTAAATGGGAAGTTTTGCAGATCGTTCGCCCATGTATTCTTTTGGCTACATTTGCTATTTTATCTACATGAGGTCAATGTGATTATGCTTCTCCTGTCTATTACTAGAAGTTAAAAAGGTGTATTTTAAGAATACGTTTAATAAATCAAGTGGTGTAAGGAGTTAAGAAGTGCGATACTTAAAAAATTATATAAACTGTGAAATAAGTGTTATAATACCTTAAAAAATAACATAAAAATGAAGCAAACAAAAAAGAAAAGCTACCACGACAAAATTACGATACTTAACAACTTTAGCAGTAGGTATATAGGTGGAAACTACATATAAGGCAAGTAAGATTGTTGTTTAAAGAAAAAAAAAAAATCACTGAACCAAGAAATAAACACGAAGCAGAAGATAGATAAACACTTACTGCTGATTATGAAGCACTAAACCATCTTCCCCATTTGAATTTGAAATTGCTTCAGCGGGGACATAATCAAAATTTACATCTGATAAATCATAACATGAATAACCACAATTTTGTGAAATTATATTAAGCTGTTGTTCAGTTAAGAGCGTTGGACGTCCATTAAGTATTATTCTGAAAAATTTTTCCATACTTCATCTATTCAATAAAGGTATCCATTATTATCTGAAAATGTCAAGACAGTATAGTTACAGAGTTGAAACACAGAGACACTATTCACTAAAAATAATCCCACTTATAGATCAATTAATTAGCACTACTGAAAGCATGGTTCTGTTTCTTTCATAGCAAAAGATAATGCTACATGCCGATCTAGCTAAAGTAAATAATGAATTAAAGCTAAGGAGGTAAAAGAAAAGTTTAAACAAATAAAAATCAAAGACTGTGAATCACAAACATTCTCAACATATTAAAGGTACAAACTAGTATTTAAGGCATAAAACAAACATTACAATCCATGCCTGACAATTACATAAAACATACCAAAATATGGCTCATAGAGATGATAAAGCGTGTGTGTAGATTACAAAAGCATCAAATAACGGAATTCAAAGGCATTCATCTAAAGTGAATAAAACAAAACCACAGGCATAACGGAAGTACTTAAAATAACTACAGCAAACTATTAAGTTTTAGTAACAGCACAGAAATACATCTCAGTACCGATAGTACACACCGCTAAGTGAATCATGTCAGATCAACACGCGTTATAGCAAAATAAGTTCCTCATTCACAAGCAGAAATAACTTAATCCGAAATCGTAACTTATAGCACAAATAAATGTAATATCAATATCATTTTTACCTTAAAACAAGTACTTTAATCCAAGAAAAAAACACTTGCTAAAAACAAGGGAGCCATAGTATGCATTTGTAGCACAGATGCCAACCTAACAAAAACGAAAAATTTTGTCAAAACCTAATTAATTATATATGTACTTCAAAAGAATGCCGTAATTATTTATGTTTGCCATAAAAAGAGATATATTAAACTTTTCTAATGAATAATATTATATAATTTTAAAAATATTTTCTTATGTCTTATCTTTTAATGTTCTTATCTTTATTTGAACAAATAACATTTCGTGTAAACTTGTGTACTATGAACATTTTTCATTTCTATCGGTTTACTTGTAGTTCTTTGAAAACAATATACAGTGATCCATTCTTCCTTGCGTGCCTACAATCATAAAGCCCACCTTACACGGTCAATATTATTGAATCACTAATATTGAAGCAATATTCTTGAACATTTTATACATAGTTCAAATGTCAATATAATTGTTACAATATATTCCTCAGACGGTCAATATATTAGATAATGACACAATAATATTGACCGTGTAAGGTGGGCTTAAGAGGCTCTGTTGTAAAGTTGCCAATGTATGTATGTATGTATGTACGTTGTATATATGTATGTTTGTGTTCTTTTCATTTCGTAATCACAAGTATAGAAGAACTTTTCTAATAAATTCTTGAAATTTATGCAAGAAATGTTTATATCATAGTATTAATTGCCTATATATAATTAAGAGTAATATTATTTCTAGAGATATTACAAGAAAAAATAACTGCTTTTGACTTGACTAAGTATTTCAAGTTATTAATTAAGATCGTTGTGGTGAGATGGTTTTACTCTGTTTGTTTTGTCTTATTCATTAATTGTGCCTGTTGTCTTCTGAACTTCCATGATTTATCTCCCTTTTTCTATATAATTGTGTGCTTCTGTCATAAACAAAGGTAGTTTTTATACCGGGAATAACTGTTCATAACATGATTTATTAAAATGTTTCTGACTGACGTTTTTCTATTACTTGCTAATAACATTTTATTTACACCAATTCGTGGTGTAACATTTTATTTACTCCCTCCGCTCCATCCTATTACCCACTGTTTGACTTGAGAAAGAGAGTTAAATGGTTAAGTATTAAATCTCAACCCAGCTTGCTGTAATTTTCGTTATAGGGTGATGTTTACTTCTGTTTTGTATAATCTTCACCGCCGAACAGACGCTAACTAACACTTTTCGCAGAAATAAACTTATCACCCAACACGTTTTTTTCTCTTTAAAACATAAACAATATAAATATTGAAGTCTACAATTGTCAGATTATGAAAACAAGTTTGATATTATTTATCTATTGTAGATGAACATGATTTTTTAAAATTTGCATAATAAAAATAATTGACCCTTAGTTTTTGTATGCGAATTTATTTTTTGACTACATGTACTTTCTTAATCAATTCTTATTAAAATTATGTTTCCTGTTCATTGGTTTTAATGTTTGTCCCCAATCTGTACACCCCACCCTTCCCCCAAGTCTCTGCGTCCCGGATTGTCTTCATACATTTTTTTTAAGATATTTTTTTTTTGTGTCGATACCTATGCCACATCTTCCTTTGTTCTTCATAAAATCTAATAACTGGGCCATCATTTTCATTATTATATTCTCTTTCAGATATAAAAAATAAGCATATCCAGTCCGGACTTAGACATTTGGTGCCCTCGGGTAATGAAGTCATTATTCCAAAATAAATTAATTTCTTAAGCACTTTTACATATGTAATATTTGAATTTGGATTAATTTACTATTTCTTTATTCCACTTGCTTTATTAATAGTCTCACATTAATTATTCTTATACGCTGTTTTTTTTTAATTCCCTATAAGAGGTAGGCTCTCTTCTCCAGGCTGGTGCATAAATTTATCAGTTTAGATTAGGGCATCAATTTTTTCGAAAAATGAATTAGAGAATTAGCATGTTTTCCAATTCTTAGCAATCTTTATGGTTGTTTTAAGAATTTGCTAATGTTAGCATAATAATAATAATCAACATAACCATAATTAGGTCATTTCTCTTAGATTATGGGTTGTGTAAACGTTAATCTTAATAAATTAATTTTATATATTCTGGATCGGTAGGTGCACAGGCGGATCTACGGGGAAGGGGGAGGGGGCTTTCGAGCTGAAACAAAATGGAAAATGTAATCATGTTTTATAGACAAAAATATTAAAAATTATCTTTTAATGTATAATAGCTATGTAATTACATTTAATATGACTTCAACAATTACTAAAACGCCATTTCATATAGGTAGGTAGTATTTTCCTTTTATTCCTAAAGTAATTATCGTTATATAAATGAAAAAAAAAATCTTTCGGGCTGAACATCCCTCCCCCCCCCAACAAAATTAAATCCTGGATCCGCTAGTGGGTAGGTGTATTGTTCGATTTTGGTTCATTTAACTTAATTTGGAAAATTAAGTTCGTTAAAGGGAGTTGTAAGCAGTGAGCGTAAAGGGCGTCCAAAAAAGTCAACTCCCAGGCTGAAAAGGAAATCAGAAAAGAAGCTCTTAAAAATCCTCTAATAAGTTCTCGGGAGCTGGCTACCATGGTCCAATCAATGTCTGGAGTTCAGATTACTAGCAGAACAATCAGATATGCCCTGATTTCGGAAGGGCTCCATGGTAGAGTTCCAAGAAAGAAGCCATACATCAGTGAAACGAATCGCAAAAAGCGCCTTGCTTTTGCTAGGGAGTACGTACAGAAACCCTTAAGCTTTTGGGAAAATGTCATATTTTCTGACGAAAGCAAATTTAATTTGTTTGGTTCAGATGGTCGAAGGACGATATGGTGACTTCCTAATGAAGCCCTAAAGAAGCAAAATGTTTTAATAACTGTAAAGCATGGTGGAGGACATGTTATGGTTTGAGGGTGTGTTTCCTACCATGGCGTGGGAAATCTTGTGAACATCGAAGGCATTGTAAATGCGGAAGGCTATGTGAACATTTTGCGACGTAATTTGAGTGTTAGTGCCGAAAAAATGGGAATCCAGGATCAGTACTATTTCCAGCAGGACAACGATCCAAAACATACTGCGAGGAGAACAAAGGAGTGGTTAATATTTAATGTTCCAAGACAGCTCCACACTCCTCCTCAGTCACCAGATATAAATATCATCGAAAATTTATGGCACACCCTTGACCAAAATGTAAGAAAACACCATATCACTGGTGGACATCACCTTAAACAACTTCTTGTTCAAGAATGGGAACAAATAAACGTAGATTTAATTAAAAACCTAGTGCATTCAATGCCCAGACGTCTACAAGCAATTATTGACGCAAATGGCCTATTTACAAAATATTAAAACTATTAAAATTTAAAATAAACTTGTAAATGTGGAAGTGTGAAAATACTTTTTTTCCAATTGTTTTAATTATTTTGTTTGAATATGAAGTGTTTTTATTTTTTTTGTATAAAGGTTTTTTCAGGTTTTAATAAATTTACTTTTCATTTTTGCAAAGGAAAGCGAAGTTTTTTGTTTCCTTGAACTACTTTATTCATAAAAACGTGTTGTGCAAATACACTTGCTGTGGTCTGTTCCACGCTTTCCACTTGTACCTTAGAAGTATTGAACTTATCATTCAGAAAATTCATAACCTCGCCGAAATGTACCTCCTTAAAAATTCAAAAACCTGACAAAATATGCCCCTCTCGAAAATTTTGATGGTGCAGATTGCGCCATCAAATCCCCTTCTAGGTACTCCTGGTTGTAGGCGCAATTTGCGTCGTCAGAAGTTGTGGACTAACACAAATATGTGTACAAATGAAGAGAGTTGTGATTTTTCGGATGGGCTATATTTTGGTAAGCTTTCATTTATCAGAAAATTCTTAAGGGGAAAACTAGGGGCCTACCGCAAGAGTCGTTCCCTATTCCAGCTGTTCAGTAATCCACCATTCTGAAGTTTACGAAAAGGTAATCAAATACCAGAATTCGCTGCATGTCCGGAAGAGAGGCAAACATGACTTTATTGTATGCACTGTACTCAAATAGAGCTTTGTCCTCTTTTCTAGTTTTAGCATTGATGTCTAAGAACAGTGATTGATTGTAAGATCAGTAGACAAAACTTGATTGTTTTTATATACAAGGACTTGCACAGCTTTGATATGTGGGAGGGCAAGAAGAAACATTTTTTTTTTGGAAAAATTTATTATTGTTACAATTTAAAAATATATTTCATATGAAATACAATAAATACATAGAACAACACCTTTTAAAAATTAATTTTCGGCAAACCTTTTGCATTATATTATTTTTTTTTTCCAAATTATCCAGGGGGCGCATGATTTTTATGTCCTCTTCCTTTTGGAATTTCTTTCCATTAATGGAGTTCTGTGCAGAGGCTGGAATAAGTGGTAGTCGCGTGGGGCTAGGTTTGGTGAATAGGAAGGGTGGAGCAAAAGGTCCCATCCAAGGCTCAATAATTTATTGTGGGTAACCAATGAGGTGTGGGGTCTAGCGGTGTCTTGGTGGAACACAACACCCTTCCGTTTACTAGTTCTGGGCATTTATTTTTAATTGATTGGCCCAATTTTATTAATTGTGACCAATATAAAGTTGATTCAATTGTTTGTTCTGATTGCAATATCTCATAGAAAATAACATCCTTGAAATCCCACCATATGGAAAGTATTATCTTCTTTGGGTCCTACCTGGGTTTTGACATTCTTTTAGGAATCTCACTACTAAGTACCCAAGAATTTCTACGAACTTCATTATCATAAAACATTCATTTTTCATCTGCTGTTACCAACCATTTCAAAAATGGGTCATTCTGTAATAATTATAATAACAGTCTCAGAAAAGGTGCAAGTGAAAATTAAATTATTCTACTTTCACTAGCACCAGTTATAATAAAAATCTAAACTATTTCTCAAAGTATTCCATTTTGTTACTGAATGTCTGTATTAGTAGGAAATGGGAGTCAGATACAATTTTTGAAGAATAGTGTCAAAACTGGAGAATAGAAATAAATCCTATCAAATCATCTTTACTCTTTGTTGTAAACCTGTGACTTATTGTCTTGCAGTATCCCTATTGAAAAAATCCAATACTGAGGCATCCATTTGGTCAAATATTTCACTTGGAACCTGCATACAAGATTGAAACAACAAAAACTGCTTGACATTACTAGCTGCTCCAAAACTTACTAGACAAATGCTATAAACTTTCAATTAATTACAAAATGTTTTCTTAAATGACTATAATAAGGCCTTATACACTGGCATACGGAGTCAAATTTTGGGGTTCCACCAAACCATTAAACATCTGTTGTATCCAATGCTTACAATAAAAATAATCTCTCAAAATATATTATATTTTGTCACAAGTAAAATTATTCATAAAGACCATAATGTTCAAAATGCTGCTGATTTGGCCTGGTCGAGATACTTATCCTTTTATGATTAACTCAAAATCCATCTGAATGCGCTTGTTTAATGTTTTAAACAAAAGGTAGATATTTGAAATCATTCCCAGAGATAAAATTTCCTTCATAGAGACACCTAAGTGATGAAGGCATGGAAACATCCTCTGATAACTGAACTAAAAATACAAACCTTTTGGCTCTTATTAGGCAAACATCCCAAGACATAACTGAAAGTGGTTTGTTAAGCTGTTGGAGATCTGCTAATGCCAGTGAATTACATCTTTTATAGATTTGCTGCAGGATATTTGACAAAGTCATTATGCAGTATATTATATTGATAGAGTATTTAATCAAGAACCTTATTTATAAAGGCTCAGGTACACAGAACGTGGTCTGTTGGGATGATCTGCAATCTCTGTCCATAGCAGGTTGGCGATATAATTGTATTATTATATATTCTGCTATCAGAGCCATACAATACACATTGTATTGGATTGGACCAAACTAGGAGACCATAGATTTCTGAGACAGATCTCATTCTGAGTGCTTGAGCCTGTAGATGGCTGGTTTAATGGCCTGGTAATATCTGAGTACAATATTATATTTGTGTTAATGTACCTCAGAGCTAGTATCCTGTATGGTGGTAAAATGAAGCTAGAGAAATTTTTGCACAGATAAATAGAATCAGTGCCAGCTTTAGGGTGGGGCAATTGTCCTGATAGGCCCCAATACCCCCCTGGAGGGGCACCGGCCGATCTTCAAAGACGTGTCACTTGTTAGCAATTAAAAATAAATACAAAACATATTAAAATAATTAATTTTAGCCTATAAATAAGGCAACTTTATTAGAGAAATGTTGAAAGGAATAAAATTCAAATATTGCATAATATAAAGCAGCTTAAGAAATGCTTTTAATCTTTTAGGGAGATAACATCATTGCCCATGGGTGCCGAATGTCTAAGATTGGAATTGAATAGAATAGCTTGAATTGGTATATACAATGACTTTAAGAGGATACAGGTAACTGTGTTATCAGTGCACCTACCTATGAAAAAGTACTTTCCTCTAAGATCTCAGAAAACTCTTAGACGGTAGGAAGTTAATATTTTTGACTCGAATGTACAACAGGCTCAGGATAAGTTAAAAAAAAAAAAAAAAAAGGATTAGAGTTTTTCTCTTATAAAATTCACAAAGCTGTGTTGGGAGGGAAATATAGATATATGCAAAAAGTCATTGGTATAATCCTGGTTACATGCAATGGATCATGAGTCAGAGAAATTCATATTAAAAAATTATTGTCCCCTCAGACATCTTGAAGAGCACTAATGATGAGAGATCTTCTTGAACCATAATAAGTTTCATAGTGCTCATTACTACTATCTTGAAATAATTGAAAACATCTCCTCCTGTTTAAGTTATATTTACTATTAACATGAATATTTTATGAATAAATTGGATTATTAATTCGCTAGTATTCAACTTATTTATCATTTTCTATAATACTGGCTATTTAAAATACAAGAATCTCATTGGCAATTTAATTTTTAACATGTTTTATTTAAATTATAGTAGATCTTATACTAGTTGGTTTACTATAAGCAGGATGATATAATTAACAATTCTTATTGATATTTTATGGGCAGAATATGTAATCTAAACTGTAGAGCGATCATACTTAGCAAAACTGTAATTGAAGGTTTATAAAAAAATAAAACTTTTTTTAGAACATATATTTAAATGTTTCAGGTATCATAAACACACAAAACCATTATGAACTGGTGAGGTATAATAATAACATCTTCAACAGTCAATTTATCTTCAAACCATCTAAAGGAGTTTGATGAGGGATCTTTCTGAGCCATAAAAATGTCAATCTCAGTTTTATTTGTACACACTTTGAATCTTGAAATACTTCTCCCTATATTTTGGTAAAATATGTATAAATTGATTTACAAAGAAAATTTCCCGAGTTTAAAAACTACAGGAAGCTGAAACTTATTAAAAATGTTCAAAAAATAAAAAAATTAATTTTCTATAATTAATTAAAATACATCATACATTTTTACATTTAACTTCCATTCTTAATAAAAAACAGTTTTACTTCAACTAATAATTAAAAAATAATAATAAAAAAGCTTAAAATAGTTTAACCAATAATTTTATTATCTAAAATAAATAACTTATATCTAATTTTAATAAATGCTAATCAGCGTGATTAACATTTTAGAATAAATAAAGTGTATTTTAAATAAATTTAACCTGTACACCAACTCCTTAGTAACATTAAGAAGTTGCATTAAAGTAATATTTACATTTATGTGAAATTACTCTCTATTAACATATATTATATGCGCTATACAATGAATAACACACTTCCATCAAATCAATTATTTTCTTTTGTTAGCCTGGTTACACATTGTTAAAAAGAAAACAATTTTTAAAAAAAACTTCATCATTTTGAACGTTTGATTTAATTTTAAACAATCTCATTTATTCCATTTCCCTGTTAAATCAGAAGAAAAAAAAAAATTATTTTTTCCTCAAAAAGTGTTATCCTTGTATTTCTTCCATCTTACTATAATTTCATAGTTTTTGTCCTAATTAAAAAATGGACTTACAGCAATAATAGAACAATAATTAATCCATTGAAAACCATAAATCAACATCCCATTCATTATTAGGGAATAGTGGTATTAATATAAATAAATTAGGTTTATAGATTCTACCTATTAATGCTTTTTAGCCATCCTTGGATCACGTCTAAATCACAAAGTTGTATTAAAACATAAAAATTTATACAGCTCAATTTTACAACTAAATGACTAAGTGTGATTCATAGGTGGTTTTACAAAATACCAAATTAATCATGGAATTGACATTGTTTCAGTATATAAGTTCGCAAGCTTTGGTTTGCAAACACAGCCGCTTTCAACAAGGACATAGTCTTGTCCTGTTAGAGTTACTGGACCCAGTGGTATGACAAGGAATAGATAAGGCACATACGTTTGAGTGCATTCTCCTCGCACTAATTCGCATTCTTTTGACCTGAAACATTTGTTGTGCTTATTAAAATAGGTGCCTATGAATAAGCTATGAGATAAAATTATAATAAGTATAACAATAAAAAAAAAAAAATACAATCATATGAATTTTAACATGAAATAAATCTGATCATAATTTGAGATTATTTATATTATAGTTAGCCTGTTATTCAGAGAATAAGGCATAAAACCTGTTGGTCTTCAATGCCTTTTATATTTTTTAAACAATTAAAAACTTATACAATATATTTCTTTGTTTTATTTTTGAAATCACATCAAACCCCATTATTACTTCCTAGATTTAAATCCACACTCAACTTAGTTGGACATTGTTTAGCAAAACTTATATTTCAATACTTACTCGCAAACCTCATAGACTACTTGTTGCAAAAGGTCTGGAAACTTTTGAACTATGGTTACTGGTTGACCAGAAGTTAGAGAGACACCATACATTGGAGCAGTTGTGTTATACCTCGTTTTACAAAGTCTACCAGGACTTGTAGAACACATTTCTTTTGAGGAAAATTCCCTTCCTGAAATGAAACAATTGTGGAAATAACTTAATACTTCAACTAGAATGTTGAGAGAAATATATTTCTTCATTAGCTTAACTGGAATAAATTCAGATTAACATTTTATGAATTAATGCTGTCCTTTAAGAATTCTGCCTCACAGAAACTAACACTCAAGATTTGAAAAAACGATCGATTAATATTATTCACCAATACTTTATGCCCAATGCGTGTGTCTATAATATATAAACAACTTATAACCTTTTAAAATAAACAAGGTCTGGAGAATCTATTGCCAAGTAGTGTTTGTAGTTGACTTGATATTGATAGTTTACAAAAATTTTTTTTTGGTTAGCCAATGAACCTGATTTTATTTATACAGATCACACCATTCAATTAGTGTAAAAACAACAGTTCTTACACTGCAGCAGTGCCTGACATCACACTCTAAAAATTTGAATAATAAGATTTCAGGATCTCGTAGACATCTATTTCAAATATTAGTGCCTTCAGTATAATCCCCTTGAGTATTGGTATTTTTTGCTTTAGTCTTAGCGGGAAAATTAATTTAAATAATAGGCATTAAATCAGGAAGGTTCCTCAGAGTGGATTTAGTATCCCAGGAACAGGCATCAACCAGTAAGGATACTTAGCTACTGTTTTTCTTCTCCTCTTTTAATTACTTTATTCTCAAATTTCTAATTTATTCCTTCCTAGAGTCTTCCTAGATTATGTTTTAACTGTTTCGAATTTTTTTTTTTTTTGAAGGGATTGAAAAATATAATCTGACAACCCTGTTAGCAACTGGGTCATTGCACGACATCTTTAAAAACATCATTCCTTTTATTTAACTATTTTATTTCATTATTTAGACTTACCGCTGAACACTATTTTCAATGTAGATTGTATTCCAATACATGGGGTGTCAAGTAATAGAACAAGATATGTCGGCTATAGGAACAATATTTGATTTCTGTTTTTCTTTCTTCCAACTCTTTTTCTAAGGCTCCAATATAAAAAAAAAATATTAAAATATGCTTAGGAAGACATGAAAAAAAGCCCTTGATAATGTTTGCAGGGAAATGCCCATACTGGCTCCCTCCTTTAAAAAGGGAATCCCACATACACTACTCTCTCGTGAAGAAGAAAATTTATTAGTTATATGGATTAAATAAATGGAAAAAAATAGGTTTTCCTGTATATAAAAATCAGGTTATTGACAGTGTCCAACATCGCCTGAAAAATTCAGATCGGTAATCTCTTCAAAGATGACCGCCCTGGTTGTAAATGGTTTAATCTTTTCATTAAATGGAATGAATGGGGTGGGGGAGAGGGGTTATGCTTCAAGACTCTTGAAAACCTTACTTCATCCCGAGCTACTGTGACAGGAAATTTGAAGATATATTATTCGAATGTCCATTCGCACATTGAGTAGAAAAGTATTTTACATATCCTGAACGATGTACGTCGTGTGTTAATGTCGATAAAAGTGCATTTTTTCTTAATCCTAAGGAAATCAAAGTTGTAGCTGAAAAGGGAAATAAGAATGCACCAAACAGTAAACGCAGATAAAAAAGAGTGCCTGACTATTTTGTTGTCAGCCAGTGCTTCAGGTGTATTTTTCCCAGCTTCAATTATCTTCAAATACAAAAGGATAACTTGATATTGTATTCAGCATCCCTGAAACCTGGGGTATATGACGATTTAAAAAAAAATTAAATTAGATAATAGTTTAATTTTGACCAAAGAGTGGAATCTTAATTTTTCAATAATTTTAAAATTAATTTTGTTTAGTATCTATTATAAAATAAATAAGAATATAATATTTTAGCAAATTATTTTGAGCGATTGCCTTGCTTGCATCTCTGTCAGGACTTAAGGAACATCCCAACTCCAACAGACTGAAAGAGTTAGGTCTCAAAGAATCTGCTTTTTAATTTTCTAAGAGACTTTCCTCAGAGCCCTTTCGACTTACTACAATTTTTAAAATCTGTTATTAAAACTAAAAAAAGTTTTGTAAACTATAACTAAGTATTTATACTAATTTAAAATGCATGGAAACTGTTATGCAATTGTTCAAGTACATTTATCTGAAGGTAAAATTTATAATTCAGCAGAAATTCATTTGTTTATATATTAATATCATAAACGTCTATACTGAATTATATTTATTTAATGTTCTAGTTTATATAAATACAGGTCTTAAATTTTTTTTGGTAAGCAGAAGATAACAGGTTTATATGAGCCTAAAACTTTAGTATTGTTAGCAATATGTCTGATGAATTCATAATCATGGAGAATTTAATGAAGTATTTTAACAGAGCAAGATGAAAATTTGTCCCTTTATTGGTCTATTAATTTTGAAATATATTAGCTCAGTCAATGCATTATCATACCTTACAATATTAATTGTAGGATTGGTTTTAAACCAATACACGTATTATAATTTAAACTTATATAGCCATGGAAAATTAGTTACCTGTTCTAAATTTGTTAAACGAGTTATCCTGTAAAGCATGAGCTTTCAAAAGTGCTTTTTGTGTAACTAATGGATCAATTATTGTGTTTGATCTTCCAACTCTACTTGTGCCCCACATTGTGCCTTTTCTGAAGTTTCGTGCTATCTGGGCCCTGAAAACAAGCAAAGTATCATCAACATTGCTTTTCATTTTATAATAACATACTTAGTGATATAATAATGGCTACAAATGCTGTTCTATGTGAAGATGAAGTATTTTCTGTATATTTGTAAAGATATTTTATTATTGTTTTACAGATTTTATGAATGTATAACCTTCCTACTATCAATAATATCATTAATAAACATTGGCTAACTTTGAAAGAAAGGAATATAAAAACATGATGTTGTTTCTATTTTATATGTACCTTTATATTTAAAAGTATTAAAGAGGAAGGAGATGATCCCGGGTGGCGGTCATGAACAAACTAAAATAGTGGAAAAACTGTTTATTTCAAGCCGACGTTTTGACCCGACTTTGTAGGGTCTTCTTCAAGGGGGTGTATGCAACATGGAGTTTAGGTTGAAAACTCAACCTAAAACATCGCGAATTTTCAACCTAAACTTCATGCTGCATACACCCCCCTGAAGAAGACCTGCAACATCGAGTCATAACATCGGCTTGAAATAAAATAGTTTTTCCACTATTTCAGGCTGTTAATGACCGCCACCCCGGAGTATCTCCTTCCTCTAGAATATACAATGATCAAGCATCAAGCATTTAATTAAAAGTATTGATTTTCTAAGAATGCTCACATAATTTATGTAACTTTATAGGCAACAACAATAAATCTTATTAGTAGTAGAGATTGATTTGTAAATTTAAAATTACTTACGAGGGGTAGGGAACATTGTTTGGCCCAATACAGTCAGGCGAGTCAGTCAAAGCATCCCCCCAGGTGTACTTGAGATTGTGCCCTCCACATTTTGAGTGCCCTGCCACTGCACCTAGGCACATAAGCACCAAGCTGCTCAATGCCTGAAACAGAGGAAATATCAATAAGAAAATGTTATATAACTATGCGTAATGATATCATTAATCATTTGTTCATGATATTAAAATCCTACATGAACATTTAAAAAATCTTATAATGAAATATAATAAAATTTCTTTTATGATAAAACAATCAAAAACAAATATATAATTTTGTAAATTTCGATGGAAATAAGTAAAAAAAAAATACTAAAAAATAATATTGTTTTCCACCATGCTCAAGAATACTCAAAATTACAGTCACACTAATAATAAATTAAAATAAGATAATTGTTAGTAGATGAAAAAATATTTTCCGCTTTGTCAATTTTTTTATATTTAATGATGAATCGTGTAAAAAACTAGTTTAGCAACACCAAATAGGCAAATCTTGAGTTTTTTTTTTTTTCTTCCCTTCCTCACCTTTTAGGCTGTACTGGGTTTTCTTGCTTAAGGGAAGTGAGGTTCATTAAATGAGTTATTTGAATAAAACTGAAAAGGTGGGAGATGTTAAGTTAACATCAAAATTATTTTGTGGATTCTCGTAAATTGGCTACACAAGACCTCCTCCCCCCAAAAAAAATTTAAATAATTTATTTTGTTTCAAATTTTGACTCTGACGATTTCAGTGTTGCAGAATGCTGTTGTATAATTAATATTTATTATGAAGCTACGTAAACCTATGTCTTCCTGTCCTGCAGTATCCTTTAACAATTCCCCAATTATCCCAGTTGAACAAATTCGATACCTAGGAATCCATCTGGACAAATGACTCACTTGGAATCCTCATACAAGACTGAAACAACAAGAAACTGCTCGACGTTTTCGTCTACTCCAGCACTTAATAAACAAATGCTCTAAACTTTCTATATATTACAAAAGATTCATACACATGACAATAATAAGTCCAATTTGGACTTACGGAATTGAGTTTTGGGCTCCAATAAACCATCAAATTCCTCTTGTATCCAATCCTTACTATCCAAAATCCTTAGTAAAATCCTCAATGTTCCTTACTTTGATACAAACAAAATCATTCATACTGACCTTAATGTACCATATCTTTCAAATTTAGCCCAATCCAGATACTTATTTTTCCATAACAAATTTCAAAACCTACCGAACCCTCTTGTTTCAAACCTTGCTTAATATGGATATCTGTAACCCTCCAAGTTATCTGAAAAGAAGATGGCCTCATGATCTGCTTATGTAAATATATTATTAGAGTCCTACCAATGGGTAGTTTCTCAACAAGCGTTTTCATATGATTATATTATTACTGTGTGCACATTTACTGGATGTTTTGCACATTTTTATATTTATACAGTTGTAAGTCTCATAAATAAATTTTTAAAAAATATATGAACCTAGAACAACTCTAAAAGAAAAACTTTTGAGTGGATAGAGTTGATGTCATCATTTTAAAAATAATTAATGATTTTATTACTATTTTTCGTGGGATTCATATTGGCTTCAATTGAAATTCTTCCTCCTCAAACACATAAATAAGCAAAAAACGATCTATACACTACGTTTTCTGGGTAAGAAAGAAATTATCTGGGGATCCCACTGAGGGAATAAATGTGTGATTCCTTTCTTAAGGAACATAGGTGCCTACACTCAAGAAATATTGCGGTGTCCCAGGTTCCCCATAGTATGACTGACAGTCACAATGTGACATGGTAAGCGTTTTTAATGCAAGGAGAAAGGATGGTAATAGAACGGCCTCGCAAAAATGTGTTTTAGCATTGGTATAAAGCGGCACTTCCGGTTGGCCGATTTTAAGGGAAAAGTTGCTAGGACATCAAAGGCATATACCTATCTTAAATACGTAATATCAGTTTCGTACGATTTTTTGTTTTCGAGCTAGAGTGTTCACATACACACAGACCAATTTTTCGGGACTTGGTTATTTGGACTCAAGGGACCTAAAAACGTGCATTTCTGTTGAAAACTCAGATTAAAAAAAATTCACTATCGCAACACTTACTCTTACTATATATTTCATATATAGGTAAGTGAAAGTAAAAAAGACCTTTTTCATTCTGTCCAAAACATTTTAATTCTGCATTACTTAACTATTTGAGCGAAGAAAATCACTAAAATATGTTTTCCTCTCTCGTGAATAAAATTCAGAAATTAGTATTCATAAATTATTTTTTCGACGATGCTGGTGAATAAGTACCTCTAGGGAAATTTTCAGTTGGCTTATACATTTTTGAAACGAAATGTATCATTTTTTTTTTCTTCAAAATGATCTAGACTACTTTCCAAAATTGAGACTGAAAAGGTTTTCTTCCATTATTCGTCGCTCCTCGTATGAAATTAGTGCTATAGTGTTTGCAGTTTAATATATAATTTCAAAAAATAGCTAGTAGCAGCTTTAGAAATACTTAAAGACCTATAAAAAGAAAGTCTGCCGCTGTATTAAAATCATTGTAGGTTTTCAACTAACTATTTAACTTTAATCATTGTTTACTCAGACTACATAACTAACATCTGTCACTTAAACTCTTCATTTGTAGGATGCTCAATTAAGGTGGCTTAAATTAATTTTGTGCTGATTTTGTTGTTAACAAAAGAGTATCTCCACAATAGCTCTCCTGGAACCTAATAGATATTGACGAAGAAAGATCCTAAATTAATACGGATTCTGCTATTGAATGTCGCAGACAGATTCATATATTACCTCTGTTGAAAGTAGTATCCTAACCGTTTTGTTTTTTATTTAAGTATGTCGATTTCATGCTTTAGGAAGGTATGAGGCCATTTCAACCGGGATCTTATTTATTTTTTCCAAGATAATTTTTCAGTTTAATAAATGCCATAAATAATTGTGGGAAATCCGTTTCCTATATTCCATTCTACAACGGGACTTCTTCTGCAGCCGCATAAATCCCTTGATGTTTCTTTCTCTTATCCATGCTTTTATGCTGATCATTCTGTCTCTTGTGGATTTAACATATCAAAGGACTTGTCATATTTTTATTCTAAAACACCTAAATTGGACTTGTCCCATTTATAATAATACATACAACTCTTGCTTTGTTCTTCAGGACACAAGAAACACTTTTAAGGAATAAACCGCTAATAACATTATTGGAATGTAACAATACGAATGGGTTAAAAGTCAAAATTTGGATGTTATTAGAAACAAAAATATGAGAAATAAAAAAATATTTTGCATGACTAATTAGTTAATAAGAAATCAAAATCTGGTTTATTTGGCTTGGTGTGTAGTTTGAATGACAAGGAAAATGTATCTATAGTTTTGGCTAGATTTTTTATATTTACATGGATTTAGTTTTAAATCATGGAAATTTTAAATTGAAGAAAAATGAAGCTCATGGATAGCAATTTATTCATTCTTATTTAAATAAATAAAATAACATAAACCTTTAAGAGACTTATAAAAATATTCGTAACAGGAAATTTTTATAATATTTAAAACAAGTTATGTTCGAAAAGAAACTTATTCGGACTATTGGTAATGGAATACACAGTAATTCAGCTAGATCACCAGCTATTTTATATTTTCAAGCTAAAATGTGTTGATTATTTATTCCAATTTAGAAAAAATTGAGTATATTCATTCTTACACTGCTCGGTGGCTTCCTTTAAGGTATTAATCCACATGGGCCAACCAAAAAGAAGTACTTCTATACTTTCATTAGCAGATAATTTACGACTTGAAGTTAATCAATAGTAGGATTTTCAACACGTTTTTATTATTATTATTTTATGCATAAAATCTGTGCCGTAAATAATCTATTTAAGGCTTCGTCATATAGCTTTCTTTACTTAGTGATGACTTGAAGACGAGGGAACTAAATCACTCAACAGATGGGCGCATAACAGAGATGGAAAACTCTTCCTTCCAGATATATTATAAATTCATACTAAGTGCTGAGAGTACTTTGAGTAATTTAACACGTGTATTTATCTTGAAGAACGGTTACCATTTCATTGCAGATTCATAAAACATAAATTTTATTTCAAGATGGAATTGGTATTTATTGCTGATGTAAACAGGTCACCCGTTAGCTCAGGAATGATTTACAATAATATTGCAATGTCAACGGAAATTATATATAAAACCAAAGGTCACGGATAACCGAGTATCGAACGGTATATAAAATGAAACTCTGATTTGATGGCAGTGATTGATCGAATAGCTTATAGACCGTCTGGAGATGGCTAGTTATTGGATAGCTAGGTCTAACGATGTATTCCTAGAAGAGGCCTGCGATGTTTCTGATCTGCATGAAGGATGTGAATGTATAAAATTAATCATCATGGCTGTAACGAATACGTTGGAATAGTTATGGCATCTCTTCTTCTCTGAACGAATTTGTATCTGTGAGCATAATAACTTTTGAGGCATGTCGACTATCACTCTTTACTGCTTTGTTTCTTGATTTCCTTCGATTCGACCAATACACTTCAATATCATTTGTGTGACAAGACGAACGTTTTAATTTTTAAAATACACAGCTTTGGTATATATTGTTATTTTATAGAATATTAAAAAAAAAACATCCTATACCTCTCAACCCACGAAGAGTCTTGGGTTCAGTACTTTGCAAGGAAGCACTGTTCAGGGGTGTTCAGAAGGGGGTTTCATGGCGCATCGATATTTTTGAGGGGAGCACATTTCGACAGCTTTATGAATATTCGAAATTAAAAGTTTCCAACCAAAAGACGAGGGGAAGCATGGATCAGTCTGCAGAATATATAATTACATATATTCTAGGATTTTTAAAATTCTATATTCGCTTGCAATGTTTTTAAGAAGAGGAGAACAATAAAATATTCTGGGAGGGATGGAGAGATGGGCACTGTTTCTTGGTCAAATGTTCTGGAAGGAGATGATTTGGCCGAGATCAAGCGCCAGGTTTTCCCCCTTAATTAATTATTTAATTAAGGGTACCAACTTTATAGCGGCTCTCCAGGAAGGTCTCCCGACCCTAGGATCGATCCTTGGCCGATTAAAACAGCATAAATAATTTATCTCACATCAACCGGATTCGAACCTGGGATCTTGAGCATTGGAAGTCAGATCCCTACCACTTAGCTATAATACTCCTCTAGATAAAATATAATCTTATTTTTTTTTCTTAAAAAAATGTTTGTGCTCAGAATAAATTAGGTTCCGTTTTTTCTATGTAGACAAATTGATCCGATGGGCATATCACCTTTTACTTTTAACTCGATTTCGATGACGTTTTTGGGTATTCTGTGGGTTGGTATCTCGATGATTCTATATCAATTTCATCGAATTCCGCTACCAAATACGCAAAAGTTTTAAATACTGCCTGTGGCTACATCCAATATGGCTCGTTCGATTTGCTTCAATGTTGGAGAAAACTTGAGGATTTGTGAAGAAATGTTCCATTATCAATTTTCTCAAATTCCAACATCTATTTTCGTTTGCGGATGGTGAAACGTATTTCTCTCGATACGAAAATATTTAAAAAAAAAGGCTTTTTTGACTTGATACAGAATTGGAGGAAACTGAAGGAATAATGTACAAATGGTTTGCTACAAGTTTCATCATTTGCCATTGAATATCCAAAGATTATTATAATTGTATTCCCTCCCACATTCCAAGGTTATATGAGTTTTTAAACTTGATGCGATTTATTAGAATTATTTTTATTTTATTATTCTATTGTTTTAAATAAAATTATAATCTTAGTAAATTATAGGAGTATTTTTTTATGTACCCAATAAAAATGTTTTTTGTGTTTACGTTTTTATTTACACTGCAGTTGTACTAACGTTATTTCTTAAATATCCTTTTGAAATATGATACAATAGAATTGTCAAATAATGTATAACAATGGGATACATTAGGTGCGATTCAGCCCAGTTTTCTTATATACTTTCTTTAAGAATATTTAAATACATAAAAGCAATATGGCGCTGTTCATCAATTTTAATTAAAGTTTTTATTTATATTTGTTTCTATTTTATTTTTCTCAGTGTGGAATGTGTGACCCACGTTATCACATCTTGACACGCCCATGGAACATATAGCAAAAAACACTCACCTAGCAAGGTTTTTTTGTGAAACAGAAAATACATTGAAAGTACAAAACATAATAAAATAAATCTTTTTATCTGCGTCCTGAACATTCTTCTAAATATTGGTAACTCCAATATCTGTTTTATGAGCCTGAGCAAATATAAATTCTAACATCACTGTCACGTAATTTTAATAAATATGACCGTTTTGTGTAAGTTTTCCATCTTTTCACAACAAAAAATGATACTTCCCATTTCGATATCCATCTATCTTTTGTTTGAGCTGAGCCTAAGTGAATAAATGATATGCTTATAATTTTTCATTCATGGATAAATACATATGTTGTGATAATCACACAAGTGGTTCTTTCGGAATTATTTTCAATAAAAATATTCTTATTTATTCGAAGGAATCTCGATATGGTTATACATTTTTCCAAGATGGATTGCCGTGGAAAGATTAGACCATAAAAAACGTTAAGCTATTCGTTGGGGCGTTGCTCCTGTGTTCATTCAACCCTTCAGGTCTGCAACCAACTTCAGAGTTGGGTACCTGTTTATTTTTAGTATAACTCCAGAGTAAAAGGATGATTTTTCAATACATGTAGGACAGAGTTAACAAGCAGTGAAACTCATGATTTGTCTGAAGAAAAACAGAAGAAACAAACTTAACCCTACTTAAAGAGCTCTACAATGCTTGATTAAGGTGGCAATCCAGTCGACCAAATGATGCGATATCACACCATTATATTATCGTCTCTAAGGATACTGATGTAGATGAAATGAACCGATAGGAAAAGTTGGATATCCATCAATTTGCCATCAGCTGAACATCATTTCATTAAGCCAACCGATAGTGTGGAGAAAATTACTAACACCATCGTCCCAGTAACCATCTTAAGAACGATATTATTACTTATAGATCTGTGAGCAGCACTATGGTAACGTCCTGTATTAGTAACAGTAACTCTCATGAAACTATTTCATACCTGTTTTTTGTTGTAGTCATAGGCGCCTACTCCGGAGGGGCGATGGGGGCGTTAGCCCCAATATAATGTTGAGGAGGCGTGAATATCGTTTCGCCTCCCCTTATAATTTGAGGTAAACAAAAATTAAAATCAATTATAAATAAGCTATATGAATGAATAACAAAAATGTGTAAACTAAAATCGATTAAGAAAAGTCGACTAGCTTGCTAGGCTTGAGCCACTACTTGTTGGTATGTAACTGTTTTATTGATACCTAAATGTAACTTTTATTTAAATTTCTGATGTTCTAATCATATTTTAGGGGACGAACTATTCGGACTGTGAAAAACGCTGTATTTTTATTTAAGATTGTATATACTAAGGAATCAAAGATGTTTTTCACTTTTTTATGTTATTCGTTTTTAGCTGAAAAAGTTCTAGAAATATACCAATGCTGTGAAGGCTATCTCCCCTCTTCCCTGTGTTTAATCTAAACGAATACGTTGTATATTCAATTGTATTTTTTTAAATGTATTTTCAAGTATATATAATAAGTAAAATAAAATAAATATCATTACAACTACACAAATATAATATGTTTATATCATAATTAATTATTAATATTTATATATTATGTTTATATCATAAACAAATTAATTTTAAATATTTAATAATATATTTGTTCGGTTCACAATAATTATGTTAAATTTTTATACATAGTAAAAACTGTCCAAATTTTTTTTTTTGCTTCGTCCATAGTCCCCCTTCTCTCCCCTAATTAAAATCGAAAGTCTGCTCCATTAGTTGTAGTTTTTAAAGATTTAATAATTAAAGCTAATAATGTTCTTCATCTAGAAACCAATATTGCCAGATTCATGAGGATGGAATCTTGAGCGTAGCGCAAGACATGAATGATGGAATGGTGGTGTGTTCACTTTGGTACATCATCCATTGGGACGACATCCAACTTGATTGTTCGTGTATGGTCTCCATTAGGACTAATCTATTAAAATTGGATGTACCACAGACCGCGAAAGAGTATATAATTTGAAACTGGTTACAGTACGGGATCCAGCTGAAGTTATTTTAATAGCATTCGCTCCACTAATCAGTTGGTCAGCGGGACGGATGGACGGGCCATAAAAAGTAGCGGATGCTGACTTGCTCAAGAACCGTATCGCCCGCCTGCAAGAACACTTATGACGAATCGGCTAAGTCCACCGCATCATTTTTCTCATTTCCGCGGCATTTCTTCGAGGCCTTTAATGATTGAAGGAGGCCGTTGTACCGGAAGAAGTCACACCTGGCTGTGCACTTCTCCATGAAAGTGACTGAGCTGCATTTCTATGGGTGCATTATAAATCCATTGATGAAACGGTTAGGTTTCACTAAAGCTTAAAAAATAGCAAAGTTAATTGGACTTCGTATAACAACTTAGTTCATCTTCACACTTTAGCTTCATGTATTCATGTATTTTGAGTTTGTAGAGTTCTATTCCTTACAACAGTCATCAAATCGGGGTGCGAGAAGGGGGTTTCATGGTAAAAAAAATAAATTATCAGAATGAAATTTTTTCAGCAAGGATACAAGAGGAAAATATGAAACCGACAGAAGATAGTGTTTGCTATCTATGATCTACGATTTTTAAAAATCTATTTTCCCTTGCATTTCATTGAATTTCATTCACACATTCAGGTTATCAGATGCATTTTCCTTAGTTGCATTCTTGATAGTGCTCATTTACTTTACAACATGATACACAATATGAATATAACACTTTTATTAAATCCTTCATTTAATGGTTAAAGAAGTTAACCATAGAAAATTGATTTTAGGCGAAATAATGTAATTCATTATATTCTCAGCCAGTTCCCAACGCCTTCGCGATTATCGCGCGCTCACGCACACATGCATGAAATTGTTGAAGCGATCATTTAATGACTGCATGCATCTTGTTCTTCATACCGTATCAAAAGACTCGTGATTTTCTTCATAGCCGGATCTTCTTCATGTGGTTTCAAAGACGTTTATCTGGATAATCTTGTTCCGATTTCACGTGGAAAAGAAACATTGAGTATCTATCTAGTTTTTAAAATCCCGAAATACGGTAGGGTATTTGATGGACACAGTTAAGGCAAATTTTTGTCTTTTATGGCTTATGCTGGCGTAATTATAACACCCTTGAAATCCCACCATATGGAAAGTATTATCTTCTTTGGATGCAATCACGGTTTTGACATTTTCCAAGGTGATTTCTACAGACTACATTGTCGAAAAATATCCCTTTTTTCATCTCCTGTCACTAACATTTTCAAAAATGGGTCGTTTTATTTTTGCCGCTTTCGTAGTGAATCACAAACATAAATCAGTGTTGCCAAGTTGACTTCGGTTAGTGAGTGAGGGACTCAAACATTAAGCCTGGAAACATAGCCGAGCTCGTGAAAATGGTTTCCTAGGCTTGTTTGCGACACATTTAGGGCCATAACAATCTCTCTCACTGATTGGGTAGTATTTTAATCAACAATCAACAACCGAGCGCAATGCTTTATAAATAAATGCTTGGAATTTTTTGTCGACAGTTATGGTTTATGACTGTATACAATTGTATACAGTCAGAAATTATATAGAAACCATAAACCATAAATTGAAAAAAGAGATTTGGACAAAGCATGAATAATTATCGAATATCAGGTGGTTAAGAATGATATTAAAAAAAGGTAGATTCGTTATGATTTAACAACTCGTACTGACAACAGTTGTCAGTATATAGTATATCAGTATATAGTTACTATATATACAACTAACAAGAGTTCAGTAGAATTCAGCCGGAGAGCTCGATTTATTCCGGTTTTCCGATTCTATGAAAGGGAAACTGGATAGAAAATTTAATAAATTATTAATAAACTTCCTTATGCTTGCGATAACATGGCGCCTACTAAATGTCAAACTGGTGTGTGTTTTGATCTAGAAAAATAAGTATCTATTAACTTTCCTTCATTGCTGAATATTTTTATATTTTTATCTAGATCAGCAGGGCAAATTTTATTTTTGTTCACCGATTTTCTATATTCTTGGCAGGTACGAATAAAGAAATAAACCGAAAAGAGAAAATTATTGTGACACAATTGGTGATGTAGGTCGTGGGAAGTTCATTTAAATAGAATTGTTAAAGTAATATCTGTCACAGTTCGGATTTCTGTCGATGAACCATTGAATCCGAGCTTAAAAAAGAGAAATTATGTCATTTCATGAGAACTTGGTTGATTGTTCTATCTAGTTTGCAGTTCCTGAAATATCTTTCTCCCATATTAGGAAACCTGCAGGAAAAACATTTATTGTTATATTGAAATACATTTTTCCTTTTTAATGCTGCCATGGCTCTATCATGCAACAAAAAATAGAAGTTCTGGATAAGATGAATGCGTTGTTAATTTCGATTATGGGTATGTTGGAAAATATCAATATATTGAAATGTTGATTTAAAAAAAAATATATATCTCTATTTTCCCAATATCTTTATAATCAACTATATTTTATATCGATATTAAAATTTGTTGATTGAAAACCGATATTTAACAAAAAAACAAAAAGGAAAATTAAAGATATTCTTGAGAAAGATGAGATGAATTTTAAACACAATGCCAGAGAAATATTAGTATATATAATGAAGATTTTTTTCTATTTTGATTAATGAAAAAAAAAAGGAAAACCTTTTTTTTTTTAGTTTTAGTGAGTATTATTTTAATTTTTATTTACTTAACTTTTTTAAAATTTATTTATCGACAAATATAATGATAATAATAGTATGGTAAGACTACATTCACACTATGTGTACAAGAAATATAAAATAAACTGACGCTAAATGAACTAAATAATAATCAAAAAGTATGTACTATAAATAAAAATAAAATAATTAAAAGATAAGTAAGTTACACACAAAAAAAAAAAAAAAAGAAATTTATGTTGAACGATTTCATTAATTTTCCTATAGTTTTAATATTAATATTTTTAAATAATAAATGTTAATACTTTTATAAGTTTTTACTAATTTATTCAATATTGATTTTCTTCCATCTTTTTTATTTATTATTTTTTTTGTTTGACCGATTTAATTGATTTCTTGTTTAAATGATTTGCTAGGGCTAAATTTTTAATTTATCAAAAACTGTAATTTCTGTCAATTACAACTATCGACAATCAGCAGATGGGCTAACATAATCATGAGGGTAAAAAGTAATAAAAATAAAAATAATTAATAAAATAAAAATATTAAAAAATGTTGATAGGCATGATGAAAAGCAATACCCAGCGGGACCTCTTCTATGACTTATATTTACTAAAACATAATTAAGTAGATTCTTCTTCATCCAGAATCTTTTCAGTCGTCTATTAAGTCTATGGGCGTTTTATTAATGTTAATAAATAAATAAGTTTTTTGTTACAATCATTTTATAGATACGTATTCAATTGCTGCTTTTAATGTTATTATACAAATAGGATTTGAATTCAATGTTAATCCTGTTTTCTTTCTTCCACAGATAAAATAAACTAAGGATTGAGCTTTAGACTACACGATAGAAGTGAAGACAGCAACAAGGCGTGATTGATAATATGAAATATAAATTATAAATAATATCTCATTGTAAAGAGGATGAAATGTTGAACATTCTCCCCGCTTACAGTATGGAGGTCCGATTTTTAGTTTCTGAGATATTTTAATCCTTATGCAAAATCACTTCATTTAGTCGACTCCAGCCGATTTTACCCGAATGTTAACAAATCGGAAATCTGAAGGCAATCTAATTCACTCTATACAAAATAGTGCAAGACGCGACTAAAGAAGTTTTCACTTCAAAAACATTTAGATCCGAAATATTGATAATTTTAATTGATATATATATAATAACTATCGGTACTGTACGCACCGAACATATATCGAATTACTATTTAGATATATTAAAAAAATATGGATAAGTGTTGTAAAGTAAACTGTTCTCTTTTTCTGACTGAAACGATGAGATTTTCATCTCCAACTGAGTGACCCACTAAGGTCAAAGAAGTTTTAGAAGCTCACGACTCCGAGTCACGGAGGGACACGTTTTTTTTTTTCTGTTGCAGACGTCCTGTGACGTGTTAAGTGTGTCATTTGTGGCAGGACGTTATATGTGAGAACCAGCTACGTGCTTTCTCAATAAGCTTAACCGCTAGGGTAATCTCTGATAACTGTATTACTTCGTAACCCTATGCGAATAGCACCTCATGCGGTCAGGGTGAAATTCTTTTTTTTTTCTTGATGATGTCGTATTAGAAAAAAGTTCTTGTATGCTTCCCGGACATACTGTCACTCTTCTTCACTCTTATTTGTTTTTTCAATATAATTTTTTTTTTTGTCAAAAAATTCAATGTTAAATTAATTTTGTGTGAAAAACCCTCGCCAAATAAAGCATTATGTTACTTTAAAAATAAATTAAAAAAAAAACAAATTCATGTCCTAATTTTTTTGTGCTATGGAAAAATGGAACAAAAAGCAAAAAAATCTGCTCTCACACGACTTTCCTACCTATTTCAGAAAAGTTTTTATATCTTCACGTAAGTCCATTAAGAAACAAAAAAAAAGATTTGAGTACGATTTATTCGATAAACTAAAGTAATGTAAACCGGCTTAAGGTAGATCAGTGTAAACATTTCAATAACCCCTAATGTTGCTGATCAAAAACTTTTTGTTTTGTAGGGAATTGCATTACCTTTCAAAAAACATGCTAAACGGTGTTTTTCTAGAGGGCTCCGAAACGTATAGATCCGTCAAAAACCGCATATCGGAAATTTGTTGACCCGATTGCAATACTTTCCTTACCTAGTATAGGTAGGAAAGTAATAAATTAAAATAGAAAATGCTGTATCATCGCTAATACTTGTTCGATTCCGATTACTTTTTTGTTTTATTGGTAATTTAATTAATCAAAAGTTTTATTACAAATTTTGCCATAGAATATGTACTTAGCGAATCAGGTCCCAAAACATAAATCCTTTATAACTTTTTTCTGAAAATTTTTCGGGAATGTAGTCCATATACGAAAATTGAAAGGACAATTATTAGAACATTATAGGAAAGTTTCATCAAAATCGTTAAAGCCGTTTTTGCGCTACAGTCTATAGAAAAACATGTTTTTCATTTATTGCATGGAGCATCCAATTTGTGTCATAGGCATCAGTAGTCAAAACCCTACAAAATAAAAAAAGAAGCAACTAAATCGGTTCATTAGTTCCCGAGAAAATCTTGGCACAGACAGACAGACCAATGGCTAAACATGTGTTTTTCGAAC